CTACACAATTTCCAGAATATGACATAGGATAAAAGTTCGGTGACTTTGGGTTTGACATAAGATTTGATATAACACCACACACACGAGCCATGAAAGAAAAAGTTGGTGTTTGACTTCATTAATATTAAGAACTTTTGCTCTGTGCAAAACACATCTAATAAAGCAACTACATCAAAATATACCCCCAAAAAGACACTAAAAGTCAACAATAAAAAAATCCAATTCAAAACTGGATAAAGGTCCTGAACAGGTGTCTCACCAAAGATACAAGATGGCATACAAGCATGTGAAAGGATGCTCAACTAATTATAAATCATTAAGAAATTGCACATTTAATAAAAATAGTGATATACCACTACACACCTATAAGAATGGCCAAAATCCACAAAACTGACAATACCAAATGCTAACAAGGATGTGGAGAAACAGGAACTCTCATTCAGTGCTGGTGGGATGGTGCAAAATGGTACAGCAACTTTGGAAGACAATTTGGCAGCTTCTTACAAAGCAAAGCATACTCTTAAATGATCCAGCAATTGTGCTTCTAGGTTTTCACCCAAATAAGTTGAAAATTCATGTCCATACAAGCCTGCACATTAATGTTTATTCATAAATGCCAAAAACTGGAAGCAACAGGATGTCCTTCAAAAGACAGATGGATCACCAAAAGATAGAATACTGTGATACACCCAGTATTCTCATACAATGGAATATTAGTGAGCACTGAAAAGAAATGAGCTATGAAACCACAAAAAGGCAAGGAGGAAATTTACATGCCAAGAAGGCGGTCTGAAAAGGCTGCATATTGTACGTTTCTAACTGTGTGTCATTCTGGAAAAGGCAAAACTATAGAGACAGTAAAAAGATCCGTGGTTGCCACGGGGTGGGGAGAAGGATGAGTAGGTGGAGGACAAGGGATTTTTAAGAACAGTGTAACTAATCCATATGAAACTGTGATGGTGGATACATGACATTATGTATTTGCCAAAACTCCACAGATGTACGACACAGAAAATGAGCCTTAACATAAATTATGCACTTCAGTTAATAATGTGTGAATACTGGATCATCAATTATCATCAGTGAGCTTCACTAATACCAGATGTTAACAACAGAAGAGAAAGGTGAGGAGGCAGGGCAAGGGGGATATAAGGGAACTCTATGCTTTCTCCTCTGTTTTCGTTAAACCTAAAACTGCTGTTTAAAAATCTATTTTTTTAAAAGTTCATGTGATACCAGGTAATCTGACTACAGACAGATCTTTGCTGGAGAAAAAAAAATCCTAATTGTAATTCTAATGTGGTTTTGCACCATATTACTTAGAAGGAAAAACAGTCAACTTACAGACCACAGCACTGTGGTCTTCTTCAAAGTGCCTTCCCTCGTCTGGTCCCCTCACTTCCATCTACATTGTATTTCCTTTCTGAAAACTCCAACAGTGATAAAAGACACTGATATGCAAAGGGAATAACATAAAAACCCTAAAATATGAAATAAGAAAGTGAATCTTCCTTTAGGAAGCAAATATTCTTTCATTAAACGGAATGGTGCAGCCAATGCTGGGCCACGTGGCCTTTGAGGAGCCACCACAGTGCTGTAAATCCCCACCTTCCTGCTGATGAGAGAAGCTAGAGGGTACAGTATATTCGGTATAACCCAGGGAGCAGAACAAGGAAATTGCTAACAAACCAAACTGAGTATAATGTATGTCCTATTGCTGAGGTAACAAACTACCACAAACTTAGTGGCTTAAAACAACACTAATCTATTTTACAGTTCTGGAAGTCCAAAGTCCAAAATGAGTCTCACAGAACTGATGTCAAGGTGCTCGCAGGCCTGGGTAGGCCTTCCTTCTGTAGGATCTAGGGGTGAATCTTCCCTTTCCCAAGTTCTAGAGGCTGCCCACGTTCTGTGGCTCATGGCCCCTTCTTTCATCTTCTAATCCAGCAGCATTGGGTCAAGTCATTTTCGTTCTGCCCTGTCTTTTTCTCCTTTTTCCATCTCCTCCTTCCACTTTTAGGAAAACGAAATCACACTGGATCCAGCCTGATAATCCAGAATAACCTCCCAATTTTCAAGTCAGCTGGTTAGCAATCTTAATTCCATTTGCAATCTTAATTTCCCACCATGCAGCCTAACGTATTCACAGATGCTGAGGAACAGAACATAGACAGAGGCCTAAGATAATCTGACAATGGAATTAAATGTGGTTATTTACTTCCATTGTCAAATTGTCAAAGGAATTAAATGTCAAAAAGAATGACAGAAGGAATTGTCAAAAAAGAATTAAATGTGGTTATGCTCTGTTCCCTTGGTAGGTATAGCTATTTTCTGTGATTTAACGTTAAAAGTTTCTTGCTGAAAAATTCCACTTAAATATCAGTCTAAAATGCAAATCTTCAAAAAAAATTATGAAACTTTGGACAATTATGAAAAAACATAAAGCATAGTGGGATTAGAGACTGAGTAAATACATGCAAGTGTTGTAAATAATGTCAAGTATAACTGAACTAAGAAATAATTCTCTAGCTAAAAACAGTCTTTGGTCTCTATGAAAGAAGAATCCAGTTTTAGATGCAACTACCACAATTCACTGTGTCCCTTCCACAGAGGGTCACAACGCACAGCTTCTGGGAGTTGGTGAGTCTAAATAAAATGTGAACCCTGCATGCCCTGGTGGCGGAAACCATCTTAAGGAAGAAAACTGAGTCAAGGGACAGGGCAGGAAGGACACTTACTCTCCATCAAATACCTTTTCCTACCTTTTGAAATTTATACTGTGTATTGCCTATTCAAAACATGTATTACTTTTAAGGAGAACACATTATGCAGCCCACTGCGGTGGGCTGATGAAGGCTGAAAGGGGCTATTCTTGTGCAAACCCTTTCTTCTAGGGTTCAGTGGAAAAAGAGGACACTGGCCCCTCAGGGAGGTCCTCATCGGGAATCACTGGCACCTACTGACACCAGAGAAGCCCACAGGCTGGAGGCAGAGTGAGACTGGTGTCAGAGAGAGGGCAAGTCCAAACCTCCTGAATGTTCAAAGGCCATCCCAAGAAGGGAAAAGAGAAGAAGATCAGCTATAACCAAGTTGTAATAGATCATGTTTATACATTTCATAAATTGAATAATAAAAACTGAATGCGAACATCAATAATTATAATCAAGAGATGAATAATGTGAAAATAATAGTGCATTAGCAATTATGATCCTAAACCCTGTTCATGTCTTCCCTCCCTCCGCCCCCACTCCCCTTTCTTTTAGATGGGAGTTTCACTCTTGTTGCCCAGGCTGGAGTGCAATGGCTTTATCTCAGGTCACTGCAGCCTCCACCTCTCGGGTTCAAGCGATTCTCCTACCTCAGCCTCCTGAGTAGTTGCGATTACAGGCACCCACCACCACACCCAGCTAATTTTTTGTATTTTTAGTAGAGACAGGGTTTTACCATGTTGGCCAGGCTGGTCTCAAACTCCTGGCCTCAAGTGATCCGCCCACCGCGGCCTCCCAAAGCCCGGATTACAGGCATGAGCCACGGCGCCCGACCCATCCCCCTACTTTTTAAGAAACAACATATGGCTGAGAAGAAAAGAATATTAATACTTTAAAAAATTATAGATAATATTTCGAACAACTAGAAAACATAAAAAGAACACATAATCCAAGCAATGAAAGACAGGCAAAGGAAATAGAAAGGATAAATATTTCCATCAGACAAAAACGTCAAAGATCATTTAATTTTACCAAAAATTATTAAACTTCCCTTTTAAATTACGAAAAAAAAAAAAGGTTGGGTCAAATAATTAAATCTAAACATCTAAAACTAAGGCAGGTGCACACACTAGGTTGGGAAATCTGCTAATGCATCCAAAAACAAAACAAGAGTAGTTATATAAATAACAAAGTAGCCAGGTGCAGTGGCTCACGCCTGTAATCTTAGCATTTTGGGAGGCCAAGGCAGGTGGGTCGCTTGAGATGAGAAGTTCAAGACCAGCTTAGGGAACATGGTGAAACTTCATCTCTACAAAAAAAATACAAAAATCAGCCAGGCATGGTGGGAAATACCTGTAGTTCCAGCTACTCGGGAGGCTGAAGAGGGAGAATCGACTGAGCCCAGGAGTTTGAGGTTGCAGTGAGCCAAGATCACACCATTGCACTCCAGCCTAGGGAAGAGTGGGGCCCTGTCTCAAAAATAGAATATACTGCAAGATGGAAAAGGGCCACTTAATGTTCACAATAAAGACATAATTGATGAATGTTAATCATGTGGGCTTCAAAGTGTGTAAAGCTTAAAACAGCTAAAAATACAGGAAAACTTTAAAACAATGGTAATAGACTTGAACTTCTTCACCTGTATCACTTGTGTTCATGACTTAACCAACTTTTAAGCAGAAAGGATGGATCTCGGGAGCCACAGAACTGAAAGAAACCAGGATCCTTTGCAGAGTGCCAATGAGGAGAAACCGCAGACAACCTTGATGTGCCCCAAATTGATAACCTACAAAGGCAGGAACACTGACTGGCAGTAGCCTGTGGCCTGAGGCTCGGTGGCATGAAGCGCTCTGGTGCATCTGCTCACAGGGAGTTCCTAAGCCAGTCCTGCCCTGTGGTCGTGGCAAATGCTAAAGCAGGCCAAGTATGCAGCTTCTCAGTCCCTCACTCACGCTGCAGCAGAACCCATCCCCACTCCCCTGGTCAGCTGATTATGATGATCTTGCTGATCATTTCCAAAAATTAACCTAAAAAGTGGCATTTGAAAAGAATACTCCTAGAGTAAATCACATAAGCAATGAAAAACATGGCTCATCCATGACCGCTAAATTATCAGATTGCAGCTGTAAAAAAGAAAAAATATTTAAACACTATCTTCCTTTTGTAGTCTCATGCATTTAGTCAAAGTGGGTATTTTTTAACATTTTCCAATTCACCATTTGTCAAAGAAATAATGGAAACTATAAAGCTGAAGGATAAACACTTTAAATAAGAATTCATACTCCAAAGAAGTAAGAATCTTTCAACTTTTATTTCTAGGATACATTCATCTGGACCTTTTTGTTTCTTTACAATTTTCCCCCTAAGATAAATGAATACAATAAAAATATAATCCAACTACCAGCAATGTTTCTAACCAGAAAAGAATCTAAAATCTCTGGTGCGATAATATAGGATTTTTTTAAAAAATATAAACTTCATACCAGAAATAAAGCCTGAATATTCTCTTTCTTTAAAAATATAATTTTTCCTTCTTTGCTCTTCCATGTAAATCTTATAATGAACCTGTTAGTTCTAAAGTCTATTTCTAATCCAACAACTATAACACTACCTAGCAGGGTTTTTTCCATTATACTTTGTTCTGTACTTTGAGTCAACTAATAATTCCAAACGGCTTTAAAAAGTGAGATGCCACTTGGCTGTAGCAAGGTTCTTCAAGAGATGCTGAAAATTAAAAAACACAAAAAAATCCCTATTAGCAAACTGAAACTTACTTAAATTATATTATCCTGTTTCTGAAATTAGCAATGTATAAAAGCACTTTTGCAAACTGTAAAGTTCAAATGGAAAACACTTTTTAACATCTGTTCTGACTATAAAGACTGCTTGCTGACTGGGATAGAACTTAAGGGACACAAGACTATGAAATCCATTCTGTTTTTTCTGTAATTCCTTAGTTTTGAACGGGAGGATTATAAAATGCAAACAAGCTGGGGTATGGATACAGGAATATCTCATAAAGATTGACTGGTTTGTGGTGACATGTGACTGTTTTTCTTAACTGAGAATAAAGACCAAGGGGCACAGGGATAGTTCTCTTAGATCAATACTTTATACCAGACTGATAAAAATTAGACAGTGTTTTCCCCACTTGTGACTAATTCCTGTACGCAGACCTTCATTATCTGAAGTATAATCCAGTTTAAAACTTCATTATTTGAAGTATAATCCAGTTGAAAATTATTTGAAGTATAATCCATTATTTAAAGTATAATTCCAAAGCTCAGCATAAATGGTCTGGGGATGATTTCCTTTCCTTGGTTTAGGAGGAGAATAAAGCCTAATTATAAACATGGGTACAACACACCTGAACCCTAGAGTGGTGCCCTTCCAACTGCAACAGTATTATCCATAACATTTACATAAACATGCATTTAGTGTGCTTGTTTGTGCCCCGAAACAGGTGATCAAAAACAAACTAAAGGCTGAGTGAACTGACAGGACGGAATGGGTCTGGGATGCTACATTTAAAAGGTTACACTAACAGAGCTGAGTGAGTCAGGTGTGCTGTGCCAGGAGCAGCTGTGGGGCTCCTTTCCGAGTTTTTGAATGATCTTCCTGTGGCTCTCTGGGAGCAGGCCCAGCATGGGGAATGGGCTAAAAGGCTTATACATCTCTTTTGGTCCTCAGATGCACTTACCCTTTCCTTTGGTGCCCTCTTTCCCCAAGAGAATATTCAGGCCAATTTTGTTATTTTCCTTTTTTCTGCATTAGTAAGACATTATAAACTAGCAATTGGTAATATCTCTAACTCTCACTGAGTGTCTTATGTTAGTATAAAGTACCTCAAGTAATAAGAATGTGGAGCTTAAATGCCACTTACAGAATAGTCAAACAAGCCCATGTCACACTTTGATGAATCCGAAGTATTAAAACTTAGCAACTGATAAAGTAAAAAACGATTTTTGCCAAGGTTTAACTATTGGACTTTAAACCAATTTCAATATTCCATGTAATCAAAGGTCATTTATATCTAATTAACATGCCTTCATGTTTTTTACACACAACAAAGTTTAAAATATACACATATTTTTAAACCAATTAATTCCCTTTTACAATCATACTTTGAGTTGAACATTTAAAAGATAAATCCAAACTGTCAAGGAAAACAACAGTGGGACAAGTAACACTACCATTAAAATGAAACAATAATGCAAGAAAAGGTCAGAATTGAAATGCAGAAAATAAACATAAACAGATTCATTGGAAATCTGCTCATATGCCTAATGGGTTCAGAAATGAATCTCACACAAAACAGATCCCACTGTGATGTTAGACAACTCATTACTTTCTCATTTTCTCATTCCATGATGCAGGTCTTCACTATTTTTACTGAGGTTTTATACAGTGAGTAGATATCCTAACAGCAGAAATTATTAAATACATAGCCTATTCCAGAATTGGCATATGTTCCCAACAATTGTTTTGTGTGCTCCTTGAATTATAAAATAGTCCAACCTTTAAGGGAAAAAAAATTAAATGGCTTGGATCTTTTCATACACACATTGGGCATTAAATGTCACTAAGTTAACACAGTAAGGTGGAAAAAAGGATAAGAGGGTACAGTAAGTGTTCCCCAAACAATTCCATACTTTATGAAGTACTGTCAATGGTGTATTTATTTTAACCAGGTTATGGGGAAAAAAATGAAAGAATTATTACCAGAATTTGCATCAATTTCCTGGAGAAGGTAACAATAAAACATTTAATATACACATTTATTTGTATATTTATTGGAAGAATCTTTGGTAGCAATTGTGTGTTTCTTCCACCTTATAGGACTTTTTAAAATAAATGTCAAAAGTAGTTTACTAATCAGCATATGAAAGATAAAACTATGATACTATTCTTCTGGTTTCCCTATAAAACATCCTTGATAATAACTTGGACTATTCATGCACTTAAACACAGTGTCTGTTTAACTTATATACATACAAAATGAAACTAATACCAGAACAAAAATTAGACAGTAATGAGAATCAATAACAAAACATAACAATGACAATTGTTCTTAAGTAATTTATTTTAAAATTATAAGATTTACAGTGCCTTGATTATGCAAAATAGCATAACGGAAATTAAACCAAATCAATAAACCAAAAGAGAAAAAAAAACTTAATTTTCTCGAGTATTCATACTTAAACCGTCTTTGTAAGTATTTGATGTCCCAACCATGTCTTATGTAGAAAGTATAATAATTTCAAACGTTTCACTTGCAGGTTTAATTTCTCATTTTCAATTTTTATGAACTGTAATGCAATTTCAAATCCTAATATACCTAGTGTTTATACTGCAACAGCAGCAAATCTCAAATGTGTAATCAAATGTGAAACTGGAGCACAGCTTCTAGCTGCAGACAGAAATTATACACTGCATTCAGTCCAGGACAGTACATTATATTAACCAGAGCATAGAATTTAGTACACTTATTGCAGGGTTGGTGTTTCTTTCCCTCTGACTTGAATCAGCTGAGCTGATGAGCAGACATATTACTGCTGTGGATAGTATGACTGCTGTGGGGGCTGAGGGAAGGGGTATGAAGGCTGCTGGGGTCCTGGGTATGGAGCCTGTCCAGGACTCTGGTGATACACTGGTGGATATGGCATATTATACTGGCCGTACGCATAAGGATTATAGCCCATTGGCATGGGCATTTGGCAATACCTGATAGGGAAAAGAAAACAAAAAAATTTGATTGGTAAATCAAATACTAAAAAGTAAAATAATTATTATTCTAGAACTACGTTTTCCATGAACGTCATTTCTATTTTTTAGTCTATCAAAGAACAGTGGAGAGAAAAAAACCGTTTCAAGGCACTTGTCGGAGAAAACCATTCCTATCCTGTTGTTAATTAAAACAAGAGTACCAAGTGTTTAATACTATCCAAAAAAAAAAAAATACTGATGGAAATAAGATTCAATATTCAAGTATTAAAGAAAGAAAAAAAATGGAGACCCTTCATTTTAACATGGCAAAACTAATAATCTAAATACATTCGTCTTCCACAATACTCAGTATTCACTGTAATGCACATAAATTTACAAGTTATAAAGTTCTAATATTTGGAAGACAGCATGTACTTACTAAGTAAAATTTAGAGCACATCTTAAAAGGTAGTCAAATGTTTGGATTTTTAAGATTAAGAAATTACCACAAAAAGGCTAACCTTTAAGAAAGTGCAACCCATAATAAGATAAATTTTCATCCAAAGGCTTATTAAATGCCAAGTATTCGAAGTACAGGGACGTAAACAAGGCCTTATCAGTTTGCTATGCTACACTCAGAAAAGGCACCTGTTTATCACCTAAAGTCAAAGGAAACACCTATGAACTCAATACAAAGAGATGTATTTACTATAAACCCAATATGCAAAATATAAAAACATAAATTTAAACGGCCTAGGAAATAGCTATGCAACTATTCATGTAAGTGACCATAACATTATTATTATTTCTGGATAAGCTGACAGTATAGCTTATTCATTCATGACACCTCCATTTGAAGAAGGGGTGACCTGTTTTTAATAGGTTAGCCAGAACCTAGAAACAACATTAGCCAACTTGGGATATACAATTTTGCAGCCTTACCCAGGATATCCTGGATAGGTGGGATAGGGTGGTCCCTGGGCCTGTGGAGGAGGAGCTGAGCCAGGCGTTTGTGATGGAGGTGGTGCAGCAGTACCAGCCCCAACTGGAGCTGGAGCAGTAGCAGAAGGAGCTCGATTTGCTGGAAGCACAGGTGGTGGAGGCCTGGCTGGGGGCTGGGGCTTAGTAGGCTATAAGAAAAAGTCAGCATGGACTATAAAATGCTTCATATTTCTTTCAAATTGCTATTAAAATTAACAAGGACATATGAGAAAGTCTAGAATCCAACCAAATATATTTTTAATTCCCATTCTTAAATACTGGCTTATTACTATAGAAATAAATCATAGTTGTATAACTCTCCAAACTGTGGAAACCCCATAGCTGCTGCTCTTTTCCTGGTAACTAATACTTAATCATTTACTGCTTCCTCCGGTGGTTGGGCATTTGAGGTGGAAGGAAGCAGCACAGGTACTGTTTACTACCATCACTTCCTCCCAGTCCCCAGACTCTATATGAAAAGTTTAAATACTCAGTAACTGTAAAAGAATATCATATAGAATAATCACACATCTAACAATGAAATTTAAGAACTATTAACATTTTGCCATTTGTTTTATCTGTAACTACGTCCATATATATTTGCAGAATCGTTTGAAGTAAATTGCAAACTTTGTGACACTAGCCCTAAAGACTTCAGCACGCAAGTTATCTTAACTATATCATCCTACATAATCACAATACCATTTTCATCCTTAAAAAACTAATGTCATCAAATATCCACTCCAAATTCAATTCTCCCTATTTAACACAAAAAGCTCAAATAGCTATTTTTATAAACCAAAATCAAATCAAAGTTCATATATGCATTTGATTATAATGAAACTTTCATCTCTTTTCATCTAGAATATGCCTCCTTTTTTTTAATCAATGACATTCACTTTTAGAAAAGATCGACCCAGTTATTTCATGTAAATGTTCCATGTGATAGATTTGTCCAATTATTTCCTAATGGCATAATTTAACCTCTTATTTTATCATTTGCTGTATCTGCTGTAAACAGAAAGTTTAAGGGCTTGGTTAGATTCAGGTTAAGCATTTTTTGTCCAGAATTCTTGAATGATGCTGTGTTCAACATAACGCAAAGTATCAGAAGGTTGGTTACCTGATGCAGGTGGTAACCACTAGATCCTTCCTAGGTAAACCATGTTTTATCCTTTAGAACAAGTAATCATCACTAATGTAAAATTTCTGTTTAAAATATTTATTTGCCTACTAACCGGCATGGTTCTTGGCGCTGGAGTTGGAGGAGTTGGTGCATGTCCTCCTGCTGGCGAGGACTGATATGCAGGTGTAGGAATTGAAGGAGCACTAGGTTCTCTGGCAATGCTTTGTTGCAAGTCCCTTATCAAAGTCAGAGTGTTAAAAATTAACACAACAGAAAAAAATTAACACACATAAAATACCAGCTTATTTTTCTTTTCTTCATACATGAAACACAGAAAATGGACTCCAAACAATGATGGTATTTTTAAAATATACTATATTTCAAATTAGTACAGCCACTATGGAAAACAGTATGAAGATCCCTCTAAAAACTAAAATTAGATCGACCATATGATCTAGCAATCCCACTGCTGGGTATACATCCAAAACAAAGGAAATCCATACACCAAAGAAGTGTCTGTATTCTCATGTTTATTGCAGCACTTCCGATAGCCAAGATATGAATGCAACTTAATGTCCATCAGCAGATAAATGAATAAAGTGTTGTATATATATGCAATGGAATATTATTCAGCCATAAAAAATGATGTAATTCTGTCATGTGCAGCAACATGCATAGAGCTGGAGGACATTACGTTAAGTGAAATGAGCCAGGCACAGAAAGACAAATATTGCATGTTCTCATTCATAAGTGTGAGCTAAAAACAAGGAGATAGAGAGTAGAATGATGGTTACTAGAGTCAAGGAAGAGTAGAGGATGGGGATAAAGAGAGGTTGCATAATGGGTACAAAAATACAGTTAGATAGAAGAAATAAGTTCTAGTGTTCAATAGCACCAAAACAGCTAACAATAATTTATTGTATACTTCAAAATAGTTAGAAGATTTGGAGTGTTCCCAACACAAAGAAATGATAAATGTTTGAGATCATGAATAACCTAATTACCCTGATTTGATTACTACACATTGTATTCATGTATCAAAATATCACATGTACCCCATAAATATGTGATGAATATCCTAATTACCTTGATTTGATTATTACACATTATATTCATGTATCAACATATCACACGTACTCCATAAATATGTACTATTTATCAATAAAAAAACTGAAAAAAAATTCTACATTTCTATTCTTGACTAGAATCTAAATCCTCTTTCTTCCTTACTGTTTAATAAAATGAAGTTGTATCTTTTTCTATTTCTGAAGACTAGGGGAAAAAAGTAAACTTTTTCAGAGATTATAGTTACAGCTGAAGTAAGAAACATGTCAAACTGAGCAAGTAATCCTGAAAGACTGCCCACTCTTTAATAAAAGGTAGCCCCTGGATTTAAAAAGCTCCCAGTATGATCTACCTAAAAGTTATCAGAAAACTACAACGACTCATAGTTACCTAGTTATCTAATCAATGTATCTCGTAGTTATCTAATATAACTCAGTTATCTAATCAACTAATGTTTTAATCACTGTACGATATTGGTTTATACAAAATAAGGTAAAAAAGCTAACCTTTTACGCAAACCATTATGCAAATTTCTAGATAAAAAATTTCTGGCAAAGCACACTGCCATGTGTGTACCTACGCAACTGTCTTGCATGCTCTGCTCATGTACCCCAAAACCTATAATCCAATAAAAAATTTAAAAAAAAAAAAAAAAATTTCTGAAGATATTCAAAGAAATGTGGCACTGAGATATTTAATGTTAAAAGATAACTCATGACCTGTCACTAAGGTAGGCTCATGAAAGCTATATTGCTGAAAATACTATTACAATTTAGTATTAAAAATCAGAAAATTTTAAGTCTCCTCTAATAGTAAATTGAAGTTTATCCCAAAATCACACTAAACAATACCTAAAGTAAAACTCACTCCATGTAATACATAGTGTCAATCAACTTTCACTGCACTGATTAACGTACACAGGGTAGTAAATATAACGTGTCCCAAAACATCTGAGACAGTACCTTTTGCCCTGATTTAACAATTAACAGCAAAGCCCCACACTGTCCATATCCAATCTTCCCTCTCAAGAAGGGCCACAATCTCTCCAGACATAAATAAAACTAGTATACCTTCATTGAAAAAACAAAACTACTTCTTAATATAAGCAAATAACTGCTTATAACATAAATAAGTTTTTAATCACTATCAAAATTCTAAAAGGTCAGATTTTGAAATATCTAAAAAATGTATGTATATTATAAAGCTTTAACAAAACACCTTTATTTTCCCTTGATAAACTCTAGGGATGATTGCAGTAAATAACACATTTAAAAGGCAAATAATAATTTCCTGGCCACTTACAAAAGATATAAATCAATGCTATTAAATAAAATCAATAATGTAAAAAAGCAATAAGATATAAAATAAAATGCTCACTTTGGGAGGCTGAGGTGGGTGGATCACCCGAGGTCAGGAGTTCAAGACCAGCCTGGCCATGATGGTGAAACCCCATCTTTAAAAAAAAAAAAAAAAGTAAAGAAAAATAAACACAAATAAATAAATAAAATGCCACCAGTATTCCTATGCCCAACAACCTACTGGCAGTGGTATTCAAACCATTAGTAAAAAGAAAGTAAAGTTCAGAGTAAAACATTCGTTCTTCTTACACTCTTTAAATTTCTGATGAAAGATTTCAATGAAAACAGAAATTAAAAAGCAAAGCCTCCAGCTAATAAGTATATAAAGAGGACATATTAATCACCGGGAAAATGAAAATTAAAATCATACAATGAGATAATACTACAAACTCAGCAGAATAGCTAAGGGCAAAAATGTGGAGCAACCAGAACTCTCATATACTGCTAGGAGGAATGTAAATTAGTACAATCACGTTGGAAAACTATTTGATAATATCAGCTAACGTTAAACATACACATACCCTTTGATCAACTATATACCCAACAGCACTGCATATACATGCTCACCAAAAGCATGAACTGTCTAATACAGTAACCACTAGCCATATATGGCTATCAAACATCTGAAATGTGGCTAGTCTGAATTGAGATGTGTTATAAGTATAAAATACACGTTAGATTTCTAAGACTTAGTGTGAAAAAAATGTAAAATATCTCTCATTTATAATTTTACATTGATTATAAGTTAAAATACTTTGGACATATGGGTTAAATGAAACACTGAAATTTATTTCGCCCGGTTTTTTGTTTTGTTTTGTCTTTTACTAAGGCTACTACAAATTTTACATTTTCAATTGCATATGTCACTGCATAGTATTTCACCATATAAATGTAGTTCAATTAACCAGAACCAGACATTTGATTTGTTTCTATATTTTTACTGCTACCCACAATATTGGACAGCACTGATTTACACCATTCATGCCAGCACTATTTATAAAAGCTCAAAACTAGTAACTTCTTGAATATTCAACAGTAGAATAAATAACTTGTGTATTCAAACGATAAAATATATACAAAAATGAGAATAAAAGATCTATAAATACACACAATTATAGTGATGAATCTCACAAATATAATAATAGAATAAAAGCCAGCCATAGAAGAGTACATAATGCGTGATTCTATTTACATACAATGCAAAAACAGGAGAACGTAATCTATGTTCTTACAAGTTAGGATAGTAGTTGCCCTGGAAGAGAAAGATAAAGACTGACTGGGTGGATGCATTAACAATGCTTCTAGGGTGCTGAGAATTTTCTGTATTGATCTAAGTGGTAGTTGCCTGGTGTACTCAGTTTGTGAACATTCAACAAGATATACACTTAAGTATACTTTTCTGGTATATATTACATTCAGTAAGATATTAAAGAATTTTGGCCTTGAGTATTAACAATGACTTTAATAAAATAAACTCTCAGATATTCAAAAGCTAATATTATGTGTCCTACTGTTCCATCTTTCATTCACCTTTCTATAAATGAGCTGAAAATACTTGACAAATGTATATAATATATACACAAATAGCAACAAACCTGATTTTTAGAGATTTGAGATATAAAATATTTCAAATGACAATATTTAAATCTTCCTTCCTTAAAATATCGAGCTTCTTTGTGCATAAACAAGCCAATTTATATGTCTATTATTTTCTTCCTTTTTACACAAAGCATACTCTACACACTGTTCTGTGTCTTTTGACCATAACCATCTCGGAGATCTTTCCATATCAATAAACTGAAAACATCCTGTTTTTTAAAATAGCTGCACAGCATTTCACTGTACAAGTGTAGCTTTATTTCACCAGCCCTGATCACTTGTTTCTACTTTTTTACTCTATTTGCAACGCAGACATGAATAAGCTCATAAATATGTCATTTCTGGCATATTCTAATATAACTTCAGAACAGATTCCCAAAAACAGAATAGCTAGATTAAAGGATTTTTGAATTTGTAGTCTTATCCTTTACAGCTAAACTGCCCAACACAAGGACTGCACCATTCTGTATTCTCACAGCAATGTATAAAATCTATTTTTCCAACATGTGACAACAAAGCATGTTATCAAACTTTCAGATTCTTGCCAATCTGAAAATATTTCAGACTAATTTTAATTTGTATTTCATTATGAATGATGGGTTTTTTTTTTTTTTCATTTATTTAAGAGTCATTTGTATTTCCTTGTCTGCAAAATTCTGTCTGCATCCTTTCCTCAGTTTTCTATTGGGTTTTCTTCTCATTCATTTCTAGGAGTTCTTTTCTAAATAAAAGAACTTTTGCCTGTGAATAAGTTTCAAATATTGAATTCCCAATTTGTCATATCCTGAGTCTGTTTATCATATTTCTATAAGGAACTTCTTCTTTCCTTTTCAATGGCTTCTGGATTTTAAGCTGGAGTTATGAGATCCTACCCATCCTAGCTTTATTAAGGAATTCTCCTCCATTCTCTTTTACACCTTATATTTCATTTACAAATGTCGTTTGGTCCACTCGTAATTTATTCTGGTATAAAGATAACTTTTGTTTTCTAAATGGCTGGGCAGTTGTCCACAACCTATTCTGGTTGGTTGAAGATCTTTTTTACACTAAATTCACAATGTATTTGAATCTATTTCTATTTTCTATTCTGTCTGTCTAATCATGTACCAGTACCCCTGTGTTTTAATTAAAGATGGTACTATATACCTCAATATCTGGTAGAACTAGCATTCCTTCACTATTCTTTTTATTGTTTTCCTGGCTGATCTTGTTTCTTTTTCTATTTGAACTTCTAATTCTAAATGAAAAGTTGTTGATTTTTTCAATCAAAAGTATGCTGAATGCACGTTTGTTTATTTCTTTACTTATGTTTGTTATTAGAGATAGGGTCTCGCTATTGCACAGGCTGGAGTACAGTGGCTGTTTACAGGTACAACCATAACATACTACTTCCTAGAACTCTGGGGCTCAAACCATCCACCCCCTTTAACCTCCCAAGTAGCTGGGGCTAGAAGTGCATGCCATCATGCCCGGTTGATGCATACGTTAACTTAGAATTGACATCTTTATGAAGTTGAGTCTTCTTATCCAAGAACATATGTTTTTTAAATTGCTCAAGTCTTCTTTTGTGTCCTTGAAATAGTGTTTCTTTACATAGGTCTCATATGACAAACTTACATATTTTACCTTTTTTTTGCTATTTTAAGTGGGTCTCTTCCTTCATTTTATCTTCTATAGGTTTATTTACATGAAAGCCACTGATTTCTACATATTATTTTTATGATCAACAACTTCATTAATAATTATCTTATTATTTACAGAGTTTTGGGGTTGATCCTCTTGGGCTTTCAAGTAGTTGTACAATCACAATGTCTGTAAATAGTGCTAGTTTTACTTATTCCTTTCCAATTTTTTAAATTCTAATTCCTCTCGTGATTGTCTTGGCTGGTACTGCAGTCTAGTGTTAAAAAGTGGTGCCGATAGTGCCATTTGTTGTCTGTTCTTGACTTGAGGGGGAACTGTTTATAGTGCTTCTCCATTAATCACTACACTGAGTTTTGGGCAGAAATACACATACACACACACACACATTTTCATGTTATGGAAGCATCTATCATCTATCTATTCTTATTTTACTGAGTATCATCAGAACACTCATTTTCTCAAATGCTTCTACCTCATCTATCAAGACAAACCTGTGATCTTCCCTTTGATGTGAAAATACTGAATATTGGAATAAATGCCCCCCTCCCCCTGGTCAATAATTCTATTTTTTTTTGAGACAGAGTCTTGCTCTGTCACCAGGCTGGGGTGCCATGGTGCAATCTTGGCTCACTGCAACCTCCACCTCCTGGGTTCAAGCGATTCTTCCGCCTCAGCCTCCCAAGTAGCTGGGACTACAGGCACGTGCCACCACACCCAGCTAATTTTTGTATTTTTAGTAGAGATGGGGTTTCACCATGTTGGCCAGGATGGTTTCAATCTCTTGACCTCATGATCTGCCTGCCTTGGCCTCCCAAAGTGCTGGGATTACAGGCGTGAGCCACCACACCTGGCCTCGGTCAATAATTCTTTTTAACATGCTGGTGAATATTACTAGCAAATACCTTAGGACTTTTGTATCCATATCATAACTGAAACTGATCTGTAGACTGTTTTGTATTATTCTTTGTTAGATTTTTTATCATTAAGACTAATAGGGAGAATACTCATCTTTTTTGAGGCTGGGCACAGTGTCTCATGCCTGTTATATCTCAGTACTTTGGGAGAAGAAGGTGGGCACATAACCTGAGGTCAGGAGTTAGAGACAAGCCTGGCCAACATGGTGAAACCCTGTCTCTACTAAAAATACAAAAATTAGCCAGGCTTGGTGGCACACACCTGTAATCCTAGCTACTCAGGAAGCTGAGGCAGGAGAACTGCTTGAACCCGGGAGGCAAAGGTTGCAGTGAGCCAAGATCACACCTCTGCACTCCAGCCTGGGCAACATAGCAAGACTCCATCTCAAAAAATATATATATATTCATCCTATTTTTAAACCTCTTTTTAAAACAATCTAATTATTTGCTTTTTATAGGTTTAGTAGAAATACTCTAAAAACAACTACCCTGCTCTTTCTTAGAGGTGGAAGAAAATGAAAATTCTCATGAACATGGGCAGAGAGGTGAATGAACATGAACGTGTTCATTCTCTGTTCATGAATATGAACAGAGAGATGAATAAAGATCTAGTTGGCTGAAAGGGTCATCGGTGTAAGACTCTTTCAGCTCTTTATATTTATTACTAATGAATATGGCTTTTTATGTACCTGAGAGACAGTTAAGATATAAAATATTTAGCTCATATTTATTATCCTTGCGATTACAGCAATCACTCCACTCTCTTCTAATACATAGAGCTGCCAGCCTAAATTTTTTTCATCTTTTTGTAAACTGACTTGATTACTTTGCCTGACTGCCTAAAGGATTCTGCCATTATCTTTTAAGGCTAATAATTTATATGCCTTGATGCAGACAGTTCTTGATCATTTTCCCCTACCATATGATACACTCTTTCAACAACCTTCACTTATTTTAAGAAAATGTTCTTGAGTAGTATCATTAAATAACTGTTCTGTCTGGTTTTTCTTCTTTCAGAGAAATTCAATTTTGCATATATTAGATCTTCTGTGCCTATCTTCTCTCTAATACTCTGTAATTCTTTCTTGACTTTGATTCCATTTTCTTTAATTTCCTCATTTCTACTCTGTGTTCCTGCGTGTTCTTACTATTCTCCCTTTGTGCTCCTTCCCATTTCTTGATGGTTTTATTCTTCCCTTCTACTTCTTTCCTGAATTCTGACACCTCACATCTTATCACTTGCTGTTTTCTTACCATATTCCTGCAGTTCTGGCATTTCTGCTCAAAGTGTTCCTTAGAGGAGCAGTGCCCAACATTTTTGGCACCAGGGTCCAGTTTTGTGGAAGACAATGTTTCCACGGGGGAGCACAATAGGGTTTGCGCTCCTATGACAATCTAATGCCGTGGCTGATCTGACAGGAGGTAGAGCTCAGGAAGTAAGTGGGTGGCCCAGCCACCCACTTGCCTGTCACTCACCTCCTGCTGTGCAGCCCAGTTCCTAACAGACCACAAACCAATACCAGTTTATAGCCCCAGGATTAGGGACCCCTGTCTTAGAATGACTGCCTTTTTACATTTTTTGTTGTTTTTGTTTAGTTCATGGTCAGATGTTTGCTCATAATTTTCATCTATTCTGTGATATTATTTTGGTAAATGTTCTTCATCTATTAAGTTTTATTAATTTTGTTAATCTTTTTCACCTTTTATCAGTGCTGTGCCACTCTGTATCAATTATTCAGCAGTAAATGAGTCGTATGTTGACTGGCCCTACTTTCTCAATAGCCTCCTTCAGAAAGTGATATTGCTGGTATTTTCTGAGCTATTCACCCTGTCTCCTCCATGTTCTATAGCTCTAGGTTTATGTAAGAAACTTATTTGCCACTTCAAGATTAATTGCATATATTTATTGTCACTCCCTGAGATCTGCCACCCTGAACTGTTTTATTATTTCTGTGATCTCACTGTACTTCCTGTATTTAGAGTTTCTACATCTTTTTATCCTCCCAGATTGTACAGGTGTTTGCTTGTTGCCTTGTAAAATATTCGATCTAGTTCCTTCTTCCAGGAGCAAAGGAAGGAAATTGCTATCTCATACTACCTAGTTCACACCAAAAGTCTCTACATAATTTTTTAAAAGAAAATTCTTGTAGTTAAATTTGATACACAGAACAGACTTACTTTAAGAGTTCATCTCTTTCTGTCTTCCGTGCAAAAACTATATCGCTGCATTTGTTCTGGAATCTAACCAGGATTTCAGTCAACTCATTGTAAAACTATAAGCAAAGAACAAATACAAGTAATGAACAAGAAGAATTTCTTCAATCCAGGGAATAACGTGATCTAAAGCTAATTTGTCAATGATAGTTAAAGCTGAAGAACTGAAATTTGCATGAGATACATTCACACAATTTACCAAGACCAACAACTTATTATTAAATATGACCTAAGAATTCTAAAGAAAATAAAAATAAAACCATTCTTACAGAACATTATCATCGAAAATTAAATGTAACAAGTTAAAAGTTTCATGATCATGAAAATCTTCCTAATTCCTAGAGAAAAGTCAATTGCTTGATAATAACATTAAATCTATTTAAGTGGAAGGATCAGATTTTCATATTCACTACAGAAATGCAAGTATACTTCAGAAACCCTTAAAAGAATTTCCAAAGGCTCTCTGGAAGGTTTTCTCAGCTTATCTATTTAAACAAAGCATTTTAAACCAAATTAAAATGGCATTTGACTATCCTCCCTATTTGGAAGGTTTTTCAGTATTTTTACTCTCTCTTCAAAGGGTTTTACATTTTTACCTACTGTATTTATATCAAGATAACTTTATTCAGTGATCATTATGAAGTTAAGTACCAAAAGGAATTATGCATCTGAAAAACTTAAAAATCACTGTTCCCTCAAAAAACAAAGTAATTGGTAAAAAAGAAATATAAGCGAATTCCCTAAACTTTTTAAAGGACAAGGCAAGAAAGTACTTACATATTTAGTAAGCCCTCTGATACCTAGGCAGACCACAAGTCTATCCTCAGCAAACGACCACACAGAATATAAAAGTCATGCCCCAGACCTTTCCCATCACAAATCAGCTTTGACTACTCCTAATTTGACTGCTCATAATTCATCAGATTAATCAACCTCCTATCCCTTAAAAAGGTGTCATAGACATCTCTGCTAATTCCTGCTACCTGGAATGTTTATACCCCTTTTCTGTCAATTGGAATAAGCAATTCATTCTTCAAAGTTCCCATGAAATGTTGCCACCTTCATTCAGCTTTCTCTCTCCTAGAACAAACTTCACAGAGGCAATGCCATTAAAGCTAAACTTCCAGGCAAAGAATAATTTGGTTCAACTGGAAACACCATTTAATTTCCAAACTATACCTTCACATCTGTACTTGCTAGCTACGGTTCCTTTTGCATGTTCTTCATACCTTTGTGCCCTCCTTCAAATTAGCTACAAGTTCAACAAATTTGTCATATGCAGTAGCTAAATTCTTCAAAACTTCTTCTCTTAAGTTAGCTTCATTGTTAGATTGCTTCATTTTCGAAAAATCCTGATGTGAGACCTTGTTTAAAAAAAAGATTTATGTATTTATATTTATAAAATTAATATAGCTCATAACATTTGTATTGACCTTTTCCAATTATGAAAATCATATGTGATTAAATACATTGGCAAAATTAATAGAAATACCTAGTATACTCCTTTTGAAGCCACATTATGCTTTAAATCTTTCTTAAGTAAAAATTTCACAAATCCAACAGGAGTCAAAACATAACCAATAATGATCACGGATTTCTATTAGCATATAACACTTGCAAAAATCATAACATGAAAATTATTTTACCTTTTGGAATACTTTATATCATATATAGATATAATATTTAGGAGTAGAAATGTATGTTTAGTTCAACACATTAACTATTAAAAGGGCAAAATTTCAAGTCTTTGTTAGTCCAAACAAACACCAACTTCAAACTTCTCAATATATTTAGTTTTGTATTATTTTCAAAAAAATGACTAAAGTCTGTATGTATGTTAGCCATAAAACTAAAGGCATCAGTAATTCCAACTAATTTTGATTTTCCTCACATATGGGAAAAAAATCAAAGCTATTCAAAATTTAGAAATAGAAAAATATCGGAAGTATCAAGCACTCCTAAGTAATATGCAACATTTTAGCCATAAAAGTATGACTTTGTTTCATAGACTTAAATAAAACTGATGTGCCAAGTTCAGTTTTACAAAATATACATCATTAAGTTCTACTCTTATTCTCCAATGTCATTTTCCTAAATGAATATAGGTTTTGTTCAGATGCATCTTTTCTGTAATTTTTAAAACATAAATCTTATTAAATATATAAATTTCACCTGAATATTTTTAAGAAGTCCCTCCTGTTTCTTTAGAGATTCTTGGACTTTAGTTGTAAGACCTCCATAGACTCGATCTAGTTCAGTAACAGAAAGAGCTTCTTCATTTATCACACCATCTTGAGCCAGAGCTGTCAAAAACTTGCTTGTCATGTCAAAATTCACAGATTTCAAGTCATTCTCCAAACCCTCTCTTTCCTTCTTTATTTCATCAAGATTTATCAATAAGGATTTTAAGACATTTACAACCTAAACAATAAAAAAGACACCTTAGTTTAACTGCAAAAAAAAAAAAGCAGCCAATTTCAAGAAGGAAATAATATATAAAGGTTCATTCAGGCTGAGAGAGAGATGATTTCTCAGAGAGCCAAATATAAAGTGAACATCAGGTTTATATAGATAGACACTGTACCTTCAGTTGACTCAGATTAAAACAAAAGCAGCATTAATAACAGTAAAAACAGCTACAATTTACTGAACGCTTATGTTAGGTACCATGCTAAATACTTCAGAAATATAATTTTATGTATTCCTTAAAATATCCTATGGGGTATATATTTTATTACCTCTATTCGAAAAATAGGGATAATGAATCTGAAAAATTAAGTGACATAGTTACACAGCTACTAAGGGGCAGAGGTAAAATTTGAGTCCAAAGTCTGACTAACTCCAAAACCAATCTCTTACCCACTCTACACTATACTCCCCCTTCCCACCATGGCTGTGAAGCAGGGGAAGATATAATTTTGCTAAGTACGTAGATATCCTATTTTGCCTAAAGAGACTGAGAGATAGAATAGTTATGAAGATAGAAACAGAGACAGTTATAAAGGAAGCATGCTAGATGGAGAAAGAAATAAAGATACAGATTTAAAGCTACATACCACATTTACTTTATACATTGGGAGAAGTAGGAAAGAGAGTTCTTGCGCCTCTCTTCGTATCATTAAGAGTTTTGGGCCAGACATAGTGGTTCACGCCTACAATCTCAGCACTTTAGGAGGATCATTTAAGCCTCGGAGTTTGAGAATAGTGAGACCCCATTTCTACATTAAATTAAAAAAAAATTAGGCACAATGGCATACACCTGCAGTCACAGCTACTCCAGACGCTGAGGCAGGAGAACTGCTTCAGCCCAGGGAGTCAAGGCTGCAGTGAGCCATGATCATGCCACTATACTCCAGCCTGGGTGACAGAGAGAAACGCTGACTCAAAACAAAAAACAAGAGTTTTATCTCTTGAATTCAGTCAAGACACTCTCTGACCTACATCCACATGATTCATAAACACCCCTTTATATTAACAGTGTCCAAGTGCTTTCTAATGAGCACTTACTTTCAAGCTGCCCCTTTCGCTTATCTCTTCATACTTTGCTAGGACCAAGAAGAATATCAACTCAATCTCTCTATTCTGCTTGCCCCAATGATGCACATAGAAAGAAAACTAGGGGAAAGACAAAAGAAGAAGAGGACATCATGAGCCCTGTCTCCACACCTGTCTTTCTCATCACCAGCAGCAATTCCAATTCCTGTGGATCTCCCCACCAACTGCCTGCTTCTAAAAATTCCTATCCTACTCTTCCTTTTGGTCTTATTAGCTCCTTGATAGGACTGTCCAGAGTAACATCCCTTTGTGAAGACCAGAGACTCAAGGTTTCTTCTAACTTTAGGTGAATTTCCTTTTTGGCCTCCATTTACCACCCATATATCCTAAATATCCTAATTTTAAAATGGAATGAAGGGAAGGGAAGAGAAGGGGGAGGGAAAGGAGAAAGGGAGGGAGACCAAGAAGAAGGATGGGGAGAAGGCTGTGGAGAGAAAAAGAAATATGATTCCTAGAGTCTAGAAAGCATCAAACCACAGAAACTCTAAAAGGAAGGAGGAAGAGAAAGAATCATACCTGGATGGATATGACAAAGACTGTTTAAAGACCTAGCAGAACTTGATATTAGATGATATGAATAAAAATCTTCCTTCCAAGTGTCTTCCAGGATATATTATTAAATGAAAAAAAAAAAGGGCACAAAAGCATATATAGTATAATGCAATTTGAGTGAGAGAAGAAAAATCAGAAAATAAATATACACATACACAATATATTTATATATGTATACATACTTTTTGGGGTTTTGTGTTTTGTTTGTTCTTGCAAAAAGAAAATCAATAAGGACAAACCAGAAACTAGCAAACATGGTTACTTACAGGAAATATACAGAAATGAAGTAGAAGGAAAAGGAATGAGACTTCTCTGTATATACCTTTTGAATCATGAACATTTTTTACACACTCAAAAAACAAGATTAAGTCAAAACTTGAATGTGGAAATAAACAAACTAATTATCAAAGTGAAACATAATTATATAAGAAAAAAAAATTCAACTCTGACTATACTCCCTTTGAGGCCATAATGGACTTAGTTACTGTGCAATTAAGGATAGTTTACTACTTAGAAAACTCAACTTTCTCATCTGCAAGATGGGTATAATAACAGTACCTATTTCAGGACTGTTGTGAAGACTGAGATAATCCATATAAAGTGCTCAACACAACTTCTAACAAAGGGTAAGTCTTCAATCATAGCGGCTCCATAGGAAGAAAAGCTAAGCCCAACTTCTATGGCATCTAACCAGACTGATACAGAAGACGGTACAGAGGACCAAACAGTTAACAAATCCTGTGATATTCAAAAATGCAGTAATTTTAACTTTCTCAGGGGGAAATACCACTTCAAACAACCAATTTATGAATGAACTTGTGGACTACCACACAAAGATAGATGTCCCTTATACTGTGAACATCCTTCATTAAAAATTCATATATAGTACACTAATTCAACACATTTCAGATTATATGACACTGACCTCATTTTAATAGAGTAAATGAGGTAGAAAATGAATTAACTGCTTCCACAAATGAATGACCAAGATAATAAGAAAACCACTGCCAAAATTTTCTTATAAACTCAAATTTGAGGCTTAACATGTTATCAAAGTATATAAATAATTAGAATCCTATGGTGTTTATTTCTTATACAGAACTCCAGCTAGCTTTCAAGTGCAATTAATTGTATCCCTTTATTAAGTTAGGCTGCCAGTGATGATCATTCAAACAGCAAATACTTTTTGTATTGGGTACCGTTCTAGATATTATGGACACAATTACTAACAAAAACAGTTTTTCCTTCATTTGGGGGACCAGAGATGATCATTCAAACAGCAAATACTTTTTGTATTGGGTACCGTTCTAGATATTATGGACACAATTACTAACAAAAACAGTCTTTCCTTCATTTGGGGGACCAGAGAGGATTGAATAAATATGCAAAGGGAAGGACTAAACAAATACACAAAAATAGAAGAAGGTGGGTAGACAATGACAAAGATGGGGAATAGGTGACATCTGAGACTAATGAAAAAGAGGTAATAGCCATGAAAATGGGAAGAAAGCCCTGCACAGAAGGAAAAGCAAATGTAAAAGTCCTGTGGCAGGCACAAGCTTGGCAGGATCAAAGGAAAGAAAAAACAGCCACTCTGGCTGAAGCATAGTAAACAAAATGCAGAACAGGAGATGAGGTCAAACAGAATGGCAGGAACGGCAATCACCTAGGCTGTCCATACTTTGTCTTTTAGATCAGGGCCTAAGAAACTTTTTTGTTAAAGGATCAAACAGAAAATATTTTTGGCTTAGGCCACAGTCTTCGTTTGAACTCTTTAACTCTGCTTTAGTGTGAAAGACCATGTGTAAATGAATGAGTGCAGCTACGTTCCAACAAAAATATATTAACAAACACTGACATCTGAATCTTATAAAATGCCCACATATTATGAAACAATCATCTGACTTTTTTTCAGTCATTTAAAAGATGAAGTAGAAAGTAGACTTTTACATTTAAAAAACGTAGAACTCATTCTTAGCTCACAGGCCATACAAAGACAAGGGGCAGGCTGGATTTGGCCCACAAGCCACAAGTTGCTTACCCCAGTTTTAGATTTAAAACCCTCTGTAGCATTTAATAGCACCAAGTACAATTAGAGACATAAGAAATCCCCTCAATGAAATCTTCTACTGCATTTTTAAAACCTTGTCATTTTCAGAAAAGACAAATATGCAACAAATATTCTACAGCAACAGAAAGCAGAAACCTGATGCATTTACCCTACACTAAAGCTAACCTAGAGGAGTTTTTTGTCTCTTTACAATAGGGACAAAGATGCCCAGCACAGTTCTGGAATAGCAGGCCTTCAAAAAAACACCTGGTGAATAAATAAATAAACAAACACATTCTAGCCATTCCCAACATGTCTACAAACTTTCTGTCATGAGAAACCAGGAGTAACAGCTGTGATTGCAGATCCTCCACTCATGTATGACTCCAACAAAGGCACCCCTCTGGGAGGGCACACACTTTTAGACAGTTCTCTTTATGCTCTACCTCTAAGGAGATAAAGGTTTTTTTTTTAAAAAATCTTTACTCCCAGCAGATGTAACACTGTGAGGATAACTGAACATCATCCTTGTGCAAAAAAACAGATGTTCCTTCCTCTGGCTAGACTCAGCCCTATATACGTTACAGCCAAGGCTTGGCCAGTCAACCACAGACTAGACTTCGGGCCACAGTAGACTACAGGCAACCAATCACAAGCAGTGGTCTTAGGTTTTTAATATAAAAATCTTTAAATACAAATTATCACTAGTCTGCAAAATTTTTCAGAGTATATCAATATCTAGAACCAGATGCCCAAAGAGACTAAAAGTAAGAACTAGACAGCAGGCTTCTTCACAATAAATGAAAAACTAAAAAAGCCCTACCATCAAACTTGGACTTTTTAATAAAACATGTACACTGCATCATTCTAATCAACAATCAAGTAACTGAGTTTTTATCATTAAAAACTCTGGCTAAAATGTGTCCTCAACTATCATGATAACCATCTGAAACCGCTTTGATACACATGATGTTTGCCTCATTTGATAAAGGCACATGACAAATGAATATATAGAGAGTACTGAAATTTTTGTGGTTAGCCCATCAAGAAAATCTAGCTTCCATAAAATTACTTATTGACTATAAAAATTCTTTTCCTCTGTGTAAAACAAGTAAGGATTAATAAAACTGATACAACTGAATAAAATATAACAAATCAGTGCATACTAATGCAGATTTTGCTTAGCACAAACCATTTTTGCTTTTAAGCAGAAGAATCAAAGGACAAAAGCCACATAATTCTGAGTCAGGTACAAGACATCAAAAAAAATACAAAGAGAATACCAAACAGAGATCTTTTTCCAAAATAAAAAAGGTACCAGAATTTATTGCTGTTCCAAGGATCTGCAGTTTCTTCTTTGGGTTCTTTGTTCTTCGCAAGTTAATCTTCTGGCCACCTCCCTTTACTCCCCTATGTCCTCTAAGCAAATAACTGATACTCCTTGTTCCATTGGGTTCCCCCTTTAGATTCAGGTTCAATGCACATTCAACTATGTAGCCTTCTCTTCCCTTTGCCCAGTAACTGTGGCGGGTTTCCACTGTACCTCTGATAACTCTCTAGACACACCCACTACTCAGCCCATCTCAGATCTTAAACGTTTACTTTTTTCTGCCTATCCATTCTGTTCTCATAAAGGGCCAATCTCTTAAGAAGTCTCCAAAGAGAACTGCTACTGAAATTTAAGTACTTCATCTAAATCCTCATTACAGACCTCCTGTACTTTCCCTGTGACATTTTTAAACCTCTTCCCTATATCACAGTCATCCTTGTATGTGACTAATATTCCACAATTGATCATAAATTGGGGGTAAAGCCTGTGTATAATTCACTATGGCATATCATAGTGCCTTATGCAGAGCAGATATCCAGGAATTCTTAGAATAAATATATGAAATATATACAATGCTTCTATGGAAAGACAAATAAGGAACAAAACTAAAACTTTTCAGAACTTATTATCCCAAGAAATTCACTTTTCTCAAGAAGTTTTCAGCAGTATTTCTTACCCTTTGGCTTGTTTTCCTGTGCAGACATTTTGTCAGATATTTCTCTGCACCCTTTGGCTTGTTTTTCTTGTTTATCCTATTTTATCTTACTAACTTACCTGTCTTATCGTATCTTACTAATATAAGATATCTCTATCTTATCCTAGTAACTTACCCTACCTCCCAGTAATGGCCATTAAATTACACTTGCACTTTGTCTTCTTTTAGGACTTTCCAAATCAGATGCCCTACTATTCGATTTTCTCCTTCCTGTCACCAGTAGAAATACCATGAGGTGCTATCCATATATACATGCACGCCTTGCCAATCTTCCTTTCAAAGGTAGTCCCAGTGAAATAAGGTAGAAGGAAGTACAGAATAATTTAAGAAGCAAAGAATTTGTGTATCAGGCCATACCCGGTCCTTTCATTTCAGGGAAGTTTCTATACTCCCAAGCTTCTCTCTTTTTTTTTTTGAGACGGAGTTTCGCTCTTGTTACCCAGACTGGAGTGCAATGGCGCGATCTCGGCTCACTGCAACCTCCGCCTCCTGGGTTCAGGCAATTCTCCTGCCTCAGCCTCCTGAGTAGCTGGGATTACAGGCACGCGCCACCGTGCCCAGCTAATTTTTTGTATTTTTAATAGACACGGGGTTTCACCATGTTGACCAGGATGGTCTCGATCTCTTGACCTCGTGATCGACCTGCCTCGGCCTCCCAAAGTGCTGGGATTACAGGCTTGAGCCACCACGCCCGGCCGCTTCTCTCTTTTATAAAAACCGAATTAAATACTGTTGACATATTAAGCATCCAGAATTTAGTTCAAAAAAACAGCATTCAATAAATGGAAGTTACTATTACGGGACAGTCAGCGGAATTACCAGTGTAATTTACACAGTGTAAAATATAACAACTCCAATTTATTTCTGCATTTTTTAAAAGATGACAATAAGAAATTGGTAGTTCATTATATAAAACGCCTTGAATGTGGTTTTCTCAGGCAGATGACAACCCACATCAAAATGTCCTTCTTACCTCGCTGCCCTGCATGGTCTTTGCTGGATTAGCAGAAGGGATGGCAGCATTCAGCTCAGGCTCTGGCTTACACAAAAGCGCAATGGTGTCACGATGAGACTGGTAACATTCTTTCACTTGCCCATCTGCTTGCACAGCTTTATCTAAAACTGCTCTGAAGTTGGTTCCCTCTGGGAGAAAATAAAAGTTTCCAGAGCACATAAGTGATTCTAACAGCAACGTTTATGGGCTGGTTATACATTGAGCTCTAGTCTCCAACTTTACTTATCTTTCCCTTTTATAGGCCCCAATTCATTTGATAATAAAAACAGCTCCTAACAGTCTTTGCATTCTCGTTTTTGGAAAGATGACAAAATCACTCATAAAATCAAAAGCATAGCTATACCTTAAAATATATTTGGTGATTACTATCTGCCAAATAGAAGCTAATTAGTATTAATCTAATGTTTTCCTACAACTCCTGAAAGTAGGAAGAAATCGTTCTCTCCAAAAGGGGGTACACTTATTTTAAAAGTATTACTCTCTCAAAAGAGCAATGTGACTTTAAAAAAAAAGCAGATACATTTTTAGAAAAAATCTCAATAATATACAAACTTTTTACAAAGACAAAATTAATCTCCAGCCACCATAAAGAAAGCATTTATCTCAGGAAGCATAAAATCTTAATAATCAAAGTCTTAAGAAGCATAAATGTGGCTTCAAGATAACTTAAAACTCATTTTTTTACCAACCAGGATTCACTACTAAATGAAAAAAAAATTACAAAACCATAAATGTAATACACTCTCATTTATGTTTTTAAAATATGCACAGGGGCCAGGCATGAAGACTCAAGCCTGTAATCTCATCACTTTGGGAGGCGAAGGCATGTGGATCACTTGAGTCCAGGAGTTCAAGATGAGCCTGGGCAACATGGTAAAACCTCATCTCTGCAAAAAATAAAAAAATTAGCCAGGTGTGGTGGTGCATGTCTATAGTACCGGTTGCTCAAGAGGCTGAGGTAGAAGGATTCCTTGAGCCCTGGAGGTGGGGCTGCAGTAGGCTGTGATCTTGCCACTGCACTCCAGCCTGGGTGACAGAGCAAGACCTTGTCTCAAAAAAATAAAATATGCACAGAGCTTAGAATAGGAAATGAAAGTTAAAGAATCATTTTAATTTTCACTTTATTCCCTTCTTAAGAATCTGTACTTCTGACAATGAGCAGATTACTTTTGCAACCTTTTTCAATCTTTATACTAAACTGAGGAAAACCAGTTTCAGTAAAAATGAATTTACAACTGAGCCTAAGTAATCAATCAAAAATGTGGGTCCAGATTGGGAATTTATTCAAATAAAGGTCATTTATACACATTTTTACCTGCTCTTAAAGGCTTATACAGTTCGTTGGATGGTGTCCTTTGCCAGCGTTCCTTAAATTTTCCTCTTAAATCATTATCGGTTGCTTCTTCTTCATCCAACAACCTTAATGACTTCACAAGGAAGCAAAAAAAAAAAAACTGAAATGTAATTTCTGGCATAATAAACTTAAGAGTATTTTTTAAATGTTCATATTCAATATAAGTGAATTTGGTGAGATGGGAATACTTCTATACTATTAGTTAGAATATAAATCGTTCGACTTTTTTCTTGGCACATCTAAGTTATAATGCATTTAACAAAAAGTCATAAATTTAAGGCTAAGTTAGCTATTATCTTCCTTAGTAAAATAAAAAAGAAGAATAAATAAGAGACGATATCCATTTACCAATTTCGAGAAAGTATTAAGATTACAATAAATAAATAGAAGCCATGAACAAAACCTTTCAACCTCAGAAGCCATGAACAAAACAAAGGGGAAATCTGACCAATTACATGAAAATAAAAGAGTCAGACTTCCACCCCAAAAAAAAAACCAACAGAAAATTACGTTTAACATATTTTGAAATGCCTTTTTGATATGCAAGTAAGATGACAGGATAGTAGGAGGCCAGAAACACAAAAAAATACTAATCTACCAGTAGACACAGTGCTAGCACCAGCAATATATGAAAATCCCTGAGAGCTTAGGACAAAGAATAGCAAAATTCTGTCAAACACCACAGAGTAAATACTTTAGGTTTTGTGGACCACAGTCTATATCACATAGTATTATTATTCTTTTTTGAAAATGCTACAAAAAAGAGAAAAATTAACCTTAACTAGTGAACCATACAAAAACAGGCCACAAGCCAGAACTGGCCCGCCATTCATGGTTCACCAGCTGTGTAGTTCACCATTGGCCTGGATTGTAAATTTAGTACATGAAAAGGCAGTAAGAAACACAGGTAGGGCCAATAAAAGGAAAGGTCAGATCAGAAGCACTCTCTACCCTCAAACTGGTATACTTCCAAATAGGTGATTCTTAATGGATGATTTTTTTAAAACAGAAAACTGCCCCACAGAAGAAAACATGCCTGTCTGCACCTTGACTCTAAAGAAAAAAAAAAGAAGTATTATCTGAGATTCCTGATCAAAAGCCTGAAGTTGGGACTAGAAATCTAAAAGATTAAGTACAAAAAGAAAAAAAAAAACTTTAGGAAGTGCCAGGTATATAACGCCTTTTTATGGCAGAAGCAAACACAAATCCTTTCCAGAATTCACCTTAAACCCAGATCTCAATGAATTCCCACAAATAAATCACAGAAAATATGAATTCACAATCGAAACTCACTGAACACTAAATGCAATACAGTATTCTGTACCGAATCTTGGAACAGAAGGAGGGACATTGGTGGAATAACTGGTAAAATCTGAGTAATAATATTGTACCAATGTCAATTTCCTAGTTTTAACAAATGTATCGTAACTTTCAGGGCAGCTAGGTGAAAAACATACAGGAATCTTCTACACTAAATTTGCAACTTCTCTGTAAATCTGAAACTATTTTTTTAAAGTTCTAAAGTAAAAAACAGTAACAAAAAAACTAAACACAAGAGAAAACAAGCCACTATAAGCAAGAATCAGCAAAAATTACAAAGCATGGAGTCAAACCACAAAAACTACAGATATTAGATAAAGAATATAAAATAAATATATTTCACATATTTTAAGAAATCAGGCCTGTATTAAAGGGTTTAACCTTCCAGGTTAAGACAAAGATTATCAAATTAAACTAAAAAGAAAAATCTTGCTATGTGCTATTTAAAAATGACACAACCATAAGGGCATACAAGTTGAAGGCCAGAGAAACTACAAGAAAACTAGAAACCACTATCACTTATTAATATAAATGCAATATTTTCAAGACAATACTACCAATCCAAATCAAGCAGCACATTAAAAGGATTATATACCATGACCAAGTAGGATACCCCAGGAATGCAATGGTGATTCATACCTGAAAATCACTTAATGTAATATACATTAGTAAAATGAAAAAAAAAACATATGATCATCTTAAGAGATGCAGAGAAAATATCTGACAAAATCCAACACTCGTAACCAAAAAAAATCAACGAATTAGAACGGAACATCCTCAACCTCATAAAGGCCATCTATGAAAATCCCACCACTAACATACTTAATAGTGAAACACGGGAAGCTTTCCCCCTGAGATCAGGAACAAGACAAGAATGTCCACTCTCACCACGTCACTGCACTGCACTGCACTGGCCAGGGCAATTAGACGATAACAACAACAACAACAACACAAAGGCATCCAACTGAAAAGGAAGATGTAAAACTATCTCTATTTGCAGATGACATGGCCTTATACATAGAAAATCCTAAAGAATCCACAAAAAAACTATTGGAAATAATAAATTCAGCAAAGTTGCAGAATATGAAACCGGTTGTGCTTTTATATTCTAGCAATGAACAATCCAAAAAGGAAATTAGAAAACAATTCCATCTACGACAGCATTAAAAAAGAATAAAATACATAGAAGTAAGTTTAACAGAAGAGGGACAAGATGCACACTGAAAATTACAAAACAATGCTGAAACAAAAGGCCTAAAAATCTGGAAAGACTTCCTGAGTTCATGGACTAGAAAACTTAATATTGTTAAGACTGGCAATTCTCCCCAAATTGAGCTAAAGATTCCATTCAATGCAATCTTTAACAACCTTCTAACTGCTTATTTTTGCAGAAATCAGCAAGCTGATCCTAAAATTCATATGGAATGGCAACAGACTGCAAACACACAAAACAATCTTGCAAAAGAAGAGCAAAGCTGTAGGACTGATACCTGTTTCAAAACTTATTACAAAGCTACAGTAGTAAAACAATGCAGTAAAGGCATAAGTATAGACATATAAATCATGTGATTTTCCAGGAAGGTGCCAAGATCATTCTCTTCAACAAATGGTGCTGGAAAAATTAAATAACTAAACAGAAAAAAAAAAATGAGTTGAACCCTTACCTCACATCAAAGATTTAATTCAAAAGGAATTAAACACCTAAACCTAAGAGTTAAAACTGTAAAATTCAGCCAGGTGTGGTAGCTCACACCTGTAATCCCAGCACTTTTTTTTTTTTGAGACAGAGTTTTGCTCTTGCTGCCCCAGCTGGAATTTAATGGTGCGATCTGGGCTCACTACAACCTCCACCTCCCAAATCCAAACGATTCTCCTGCCTCAGCCTCCCAGCACTTTGAGAGGCCAAGGCGGGCATATCACCTGAGGTCAGGAGTTACAAGACCAGCCTGACCAACATGGTGAAACCCTGTCTCTACTAAAAAATACAAAATTAGCTGGGTGTGGTGCCACATGCCTGTAATCTCAGCTACTTGGGAGGCTGAGGCAGGAAAATTGTTGAACCTGGGAGGCAGGGGTTGAGGTGAGTCTAGATGGTGCCATTGCACACCAGCCTGGGCAACAAGAATGAAACTCTATCTCAAAAAAAAAAAAAACTATAAAACTTTCAAATAACAAAGATAAGTCTTCATGACCTTAAATTTTTGGCAATGGAATCCTACATGTAACACCAAAAACACAAGCAACAAAGGGACAGATAAATTGTAATGTATCAACATTTAAAACTTCTCTGCATTAAAAAAAATACTATCTAGAGAATGAAAAGACAACCCACAGAATCAGGGAAAATATTTATTAATCATATGTATAATAAGGTCTAGCATCCAAAATATATAAAGAACTTTTATAATTCAGCAACCAAAAGACAACCTGATTTTTAAAATGGCCAAAGACTCGAACAGACATTTCTCCAAAGAAGGCATATGAATGGCAACCAAGCACACGAAAAGATGCCCAGCATCATTGATCATCAGGAAAATGCAAACCAAAACCACAATGAGATACCACTTCACACACATCAGGGTGGCTGTACTTCTTTTTAATGGACAATTATAGGGTTTGGTGAGGATAGGGACAAACTGGAACCCTCACACACTGCTGGCAGAAGTGTAAAATGGCGCAACTACTGTGGAAAAGAGTTTGGCAGTTCCTCAGAAAGCTAAATTTAAACTCAGCTAATAAGGCAGCAACTCTGCTCCCAGTTATATTCCCAAGAAAATCAAAACCAGATATTCAAACAAAAACTTGTAGCAGCCTTACAGTAGTCTCCCCCTTATCCATGGTTTTGCATTCTGCAGTTTCAGTTATGAGGTCAATCATGGTCTGAAAATATTAAATGAAAAATCTCAGAAATAAACAGTTCACAAGTTTTAAATTGCACACAGTTCTGGACAGTGTAATAAAACCTCTTGCTCCTGTTCCTCTTGACTGGGTTATTAATCATCCCTTCGTCAAGTGTATCCGTCTTGTATATACTATCTGCCAGTTAGTCACTTAGAAGCCATCTTGACTATCAGATTTAAAAAAAACAGAAGACATTAAACTTCACTACTATCCAAAGTTTCAGGCCTCCACTGGGGATCATGGAACATACTCCCTGCAGATAAGGGGGGGAACTACTATATGTGGAATTGTCAAAAAGTGGAAAGAACCCAAATATCCATTAACTGAGGAAAGGATTAGTGAGTCATTAAAAGAAATGCAGGACTGATACATGCTAAAACATGAATGAACCTTAAAAACATTCTGCTAAGTAAAAAAAGCCAAACTCAAAAGACCACATATTGTATGATTTCACTTATATGAAATATCCAGAAGACGTTTCAATAAATCCATAGAGACAGAAATTAAATTAGTGTTTGGCAAAAGCAGGGGAAAAAGGAGAACGATGAGACACTGTTTATGGGTGCAGGATTTCTTTTAGGTGGACGATATACAACACTGTGAATACATTTGAAAAGCACTGAAACATACACTTTAAGGAGGTTAATGGAAAATTTTACAATATGTGAATTTTACAAAAAAAAAAAAACCCACATACAGTTTTAAGATACATACAGGCGAGTTTTTAAAATAGGAATTATAAATCTTAGAAATGGCTGAGTGTGGTAGCTCACGTCTGCAATCCCAGCACTTTGGGAGGCTGAAGCAGGCAGATCACCTGAGGTCAGGAGTTTGAGACCAGTCTGGCCAACATGGCGAAACCCTGTCTCTACTAAAAATACAAAAATTAGCCAGGCATGACGGCAGGTGCCTGTAATCCCAGCTACTCGGGAGGCTGAGGCAAGAGAATCACTTGAACCCAGGAGGCAGAGGTTGTAGTGAGTGGAGATCCAGCCTGGGCTATTGAGTTAAGACTCTGTCTCAAAATATACAAACAAAAAAAATATTAGAAACGAAAAAGATCAATAAAATTAATAACAATAACAAAGTCACTCAATAGAATGGCTGAAGAATGTTTAAAAACACAGCTGAATAGTCTATTAATGAGCTAGAAGTCTGGCCAGAGACAGTCTCCCTGAAAGAAGAACAAGAGCACAAAGAGAAAATGTTAAAGATATGTTAAGTGACATGTAGAGCTGATACTATCAATCTAAAAGAAATTCATGAGGACATTATGGAAACAATGGACAAAGAAGAATGACTGAACAAACAGAATCCATGGATAAGAAGCTAAGATTTAAAGATCCTAAGTATGATAAATTATGATTCAAAAAAACTAGTAGACACTTGAAATTTATCAAAATCAAGACCAAAACAAAATTTCTACAAGCTATCAGAAATGAACAACTTACTTCATAATTTACAACTTACTTAAAAATCAGACTCTCAGCCGGTAGTGGTGGCTCACGCCTGTAATCCCAGCACTTTGGGGAGGCTGAGGCAGGTGGATGCTGAGGTCAGGAGTTCAAGACCAGCCTGGCCAAGATGGTGAAACCACATCCCTACTAAAAATACAAAAAGTAGCTGGGCATGGTGGCACACGCCTGTAATCCCAGCTACTCAGGAGGCTGAGGCAGAGAAGTGCTTAAACCCGGGAGGTGGAGGTTGCAGTGAGCCGAGATTGCACCACTGCACTCCAGTCTGGGCAACAGAACAAGACTCTGTCTCCAAAAAAAAAAAAAAAAAAAAAATCAGACTCTCCAAGCACAAGTGACAGAATAATAGTAACCCTAACCCAAAAAGCTGTTAGGAACATCAAATAAGATAAATAAAAGTACCTTATATTAAGATAAACAGACTTATGCATGAATACCAATGTGAGTTTTTCCTCAATTATAAGTTTTCACATTAATATTTCTAAAGATGCTTCTCACGATTGACACATTAGGCAACGTTTCTATCAAAAAAAAAAAAAACTTATAAAACCAAACACACATATTCCAATTGCTAGCAACTTAAAATCAAGAAAATGCAATAGTATTAATATTATATAACAACTAGGTAGTACACACAAGTACATTCCACTTCACAACTGTCTTATGGGCTAACTGCTATTCACCCCATTTTTTTTGGATGATCAACTGAAACATGAAGATGTTAAGTACTTTACCCAAAGTCACAGGTAGGTTTAAGAGCTGGGAATCAAATCCAAATAAAACTCTACATTCTGAGTCCTTAACCACTGGATTATGTGTAAACTACCAAGTATTAAATGATGATTTACTCTTACGTCTATTTCCTAAATGTCCCCAGACTTCTTTTCTTTTGATGTGTTATGCTACATTTCCTAGTGTTAGTCTCTTTCCTCACTATGAGACAATTACTTCCTGCTGCTGTCACTTGTCTGTGGTCCTACACAACACTCTCCACTTTCTTCTCCCTATGTCTAATAATTTCTAATGTCCTTTCAGTGAAACACCAGATCACATGCTTGTTAACCCACAAATCAACAGATTTTAAAGAACTGTAAGGTACAGCAGTGTTTGTCAAATTTTAATAGGTACACACAAGTTACTTGGGAATCCTGTTAAAATTCAGATCCTGATACAGTCAGTCTGAGATGAGACCTGAGATTCTGCATTTTTACAAGTACAACACAGAAAAGCTTTAGTACTGAACTATGTAATACCAATTCTGTTTTCTTTTTTCTGTTTATTGACTGTGACTACACAAATAAGGTCGATGAATGTTAATGGTATAATTAATATAGAACCCCTCACAAATAGCAGCTTTCTCAAGCCAACAAGGCAGTCAATTTCCACCTTAATCTTTTTCAAAAGTTGATTTGGATTGAAAGGTGAATAACAGTCACCACCTGTCATCACAACAGTTACAGCAACTACAATATACCATCATCATAATAGTAATCTAATAGTAATAATAGCTGTAACTTAATAAAGCATATCCTGTATGTCCAAACGCTAGGCATCTTACTGTTTTAGCTTAATTCTCTAAATAACCCTGGGAAGTAAATATTTTCATTCACAAGATTCACTCTCTCTTAAGTACTCTGCCCCTGCCCCAGAGTACCTGGAAATGGTATAAATACAATATCCTCTGAAAGTTAACTGAAAAATCAAACATCATAGATTAAAGCATTGATAAGAGAGGTCATCTGAAAGAGATAACATGACTCCTAAACTGGCAAAAGCCCATATAACCAGTCAAATGTATTTACAGCTACAGAAAGAAACTTTATCCATCAGAGGGAAGAGGTAAAAGCACTATAAAAAGAGAATAACACTGGCAAACAGTTAGCTTTAGCCAAAAGAACTGTAAAGAATGTTTCACTCCTATTAATAAAATGCCATCACTACTGGAAAATGGATACAGTGACTTATAAATCATTTGATGGCCTAACCTCCTTTGTCTAATTTCCATGATCACCAAGAAAGCTGATCTGCATATGTATAAAATAAATCAATAATTACAAAAACTTTGAACAGTTTGTACGATAATTAACTCCTCATAGTATATTAGTTTACGCAGTGGTCATATGAGTTTCATTAATGTGTACTTACTTACCTGTAAGATAAGAATGAAACCCATCTTCACTCAACCAGAATTTCTCTGCTAAAGAGAAGGCTCTGGGCCACAGTAAATTCACCAAAGTGACGAATACTAACTACACTGTGAAAACCAGCAGGAAGAAGTCTCCAGTCCCAATCTCTGCTGGATGTCAAGGGATTACAGTGTTTACACTTGAAAAACAAATCTTAGAAAACTTACCTCATCTAGGATTTCTCTATTTCGTTGCAGTAATTCAGGCAGTTCTTTAATCAACTGATCAACAGTATGGATGCCTCCCTGTTCAATCACAGACCTTGACTTAGTCAATATAGACTGAGGTACGGTGTCTCCAGACACATCTTCAATTGCTGCTGGAAGATTAAGGGAAGCTAGCACCCTGAAAAAATGAGATACCATGTTATGCTGAAGACTAAAATAATTTAAAATAACTCCTCATCAATATTAAATTTAATCTTCTATAACCAAATCAACAGCAACAGAGTTAGCACCCAGAAAAACTGGATTAGCCCTATCAATGAAAAAAAAGCAAAAAGAAAAAGGAAAAGACCAAAAAAAAAAAAATCTGTTATTGGTAAATTAAACAAAAATCAAAAAAATTAAGTTCACAATTTCAGAATTAAAAGACAAAAAAAAAGGCTGGGTACGGTGGCTCATGCCTGTAATCCCAGCACTTTGGTGGTCAAGGCAGGTAGATCACCTGAAGTCAAGTGTTTGAGACCAGACTGCTCAACATGGTGAAACCCCATCTCTACTAAAAATATAAAAATATGTCGGGCGTGGTGGCAGGCACGTGTGATCCCAGCTACTCAGGAGGCTGAAGCACAAGAATCACTTGAACCCAGGAGGCGGAGGTTGCTGTGAGCCAAGATAATGCCACTGCACTCCAGTCTGGGAAAGAGAGTGAGACACCATCTCAAAAAAAAAAAGCAGAAAAATAAGAAAAATGATGACCACATTAAAATATATTAGGTATCGTTGGCCTGCAGTTCAAACTTCTTTCAGTCTAAGTAATTAAAAGTCAAACATTCTATCCTAAAAAAGCAGTCTTTTCACACTTTGGATTGTTAGAGCATCACTAACAAGTCAGAAACAATAACCAAAATAGTTATTTTTTTTGCTCTGTTTCAGCAGAAACAACAGTTATAATTTCACATCATCTAGGCAAAATGTCAACAGAACATAGATGATCTAAGTATTCATTACAGAATCTTCATCTGTTCTCAGTTTTGTGGCACAATAACAATTCCTCAGTTATTGCATTTACATGATGGGGAAAGAAGGAACATATATCTAACTACTATGCAAAGACAAAAAGGCAAATGAAGTGACGTAATACAATGAACTCCTCAGCAAATAGGCTCTGTAAAATCTTACACTGTCTGTTAATCATATGCTAGAGTAAACTTACATTCCTTTCTTGTTAAAGAAAAATCATGGCAAAATCCATGCATTAATCAAAACTAAAAACATAAAAAGACAAGCCAACTACAAGAGAAATACAGTTGGCCCTTGAACAACACAGATTTGAACTATGTGAGTCCATGTATATGTGGATTTTGTTTCACCTCTGCCACCTCTAAAACAGCAAGACCAACTCTCCTTCCTCCTCTTCCTCAGCCTACTCAACATGAAAACAACAAGGATAAAGACCTTTACCATTTCCATTTAATCATAGTAAATACATTTTCTCTTCCTTATGATTTTCTTTTTTTGTTGTTTTTTTTTTTTTGAGATGGAGTTTCACTCTTGTTTACCCAGGCTAGAGTGCAATGGCGCGATCTCGGCTCACCACAACCTCCACCTCCTGGGTTCAGGCAATTCTCCTGCCTCAGCCTCCTGAGTAGCTGGGATTACAGGCACGTGCCACCATGCCCAGCTAATTTTTTGTATCTTTAGTAGAGACGGGGTTTCACCATTTTGACCAGGATGGTCTCGATCTCTTGACCTCATGATCCACCCGCCTCGGCCTCCCAAAGTGCTGGGATTACAGGTTTGAGCCACTGCGCCCAGCATATGATTTTCTTAATAACATTTCTTCTCTAGCTTACTTTACTGTAAGAATACAGTATATTATACATATACAAAATATGTGTTAATTGACTTTTCATGTTATTGGTAAGGCTTCTAGTCAACAGCAGGCTATTAGTTAATTTTGGGGACTCAAACGTTATATGCTGATTTGACTGTATAAGGGACTCAGCACCCCTATGTTGTTCAAAGGTCAACTATATTCTTAATTATATGTATCTGACAAAGGACTTGTTTAAAGATTAAGAAAAACTCAGTTTTAAAAATTGGCAAAAAGATTTCAATAGATCCTTTACAGAAGATATATGAATGTCTAGTAAGCACATGAAAAGTTGTTCAATATAATTAGTAATTACGGGAATGCAGATTAAACCACAATGAGATACTGCTACACACACACTAAAATAGCTAAAACTAAAAAGACTGACAGTATTAACTACTGGTGAGGATGCAGAACAACTGTATTTCTCAAACAGTGCAGACAGGGATATAAAATGGAACAACCGCTTTGGAAAACAACCTGGGAGTTTCATATAAAATTAAATATGCTAACCATACAATTTAGGAATTCCACTCCTAGGTATTTACCCAGGAGAACTAAAATATGTCCACACAAAGATTTATACATGAATGTTCATAGAAACTGAAATAACCATCAACAGGTGAAGAATTAACAAACTGCTCTATAACCATAAACTGGAATACTGCTCAGCAATAGAATCAAACTGATACACATAATATAGATAAATCTCAAAAATAGTAGCTAAGTGAAAAAAGCAAAATACATTTAAAGTATATCCTGTACATACTGTAAGTACTGCATATGTATATACTGTAATAATGTAATATACTATATTACTGTACATGCTAAAATATACATGCATTTTAAATTGTATAAAAAGTAAAACTAACCTAATAATGACAGGGAGCAGATCAACAGTGGCCAGGGGCCAAGAGAAGAAGGACTGAAGGGAAAGGGGCATGAGAGAATTTTTTAGGGTAATACTAGTGTTCTCTACCTTATTCACAGTGGTGGTTACATGGGTACATACATGTATCGAGACTAACTGAATAGCCAGGCGTGGTGGCTCATGTCTGTAATCCTAGCATTTTGTGAGGTCAAGGCAGGAGGATCACTGAGCCCAGGAGTTCAAGACCAGCCTGAGAAACAAAGTGAGATCTCATCTCTACAAAAAAATTTTAAAATTAGCCAGGTATAGTGGCTTGCACCTGTGGCCTCAGCTACACAGGAGGTTGAGGCAGGAGGATTGCTTGAGCCCAGAAGGTCGAGACTGCAGTGAGCCATGTTTATACCACCACGCTCCAGCCTGGTTGACAAAGCAAGACCCTGTCTCAAAAATAAATAAATATATATATATACACAAACACATATATTATATGTATATATCATATACATATAAAAGCTGAACTGTATAGTTAGATTACGTATATTTTGTGTCTGCAAAATTTTTTAGATCAAAGAATGATCTTCTTAGTATTCAATCCATCAGAAACAAAAATTGGTTCAGAAACTAAACGTACCATGTATCTTAGTTCATTTCTACTTCTCGTTCCTCCCAAATAAACATTTTTTAAAATATAAATTTCTAGTTAAATATCCTCACCTTGTTTGTATAATTTCTTCCAACTATATTTGCTAGAGTTTCATAAATAGTGTTCCCCAAAAAATGGTTGTAAATCTGTAATTTTCTATTTTATATACCCTTGACATTTAGCTCTAAGCTCAGAAACTAAAACGTTCTTAAAGAACAATCAAATGGTAAACTTTAGGCTCTAAAATTAAACTCTACCTACCCATTTGCCAAAGTGGTGGCTTCTCTCATCTGAGCAATTGATCTGTTAACCAAATCAGCTTTCCTCTGATTATAGGCGGCCAAAGACTGCTGCACTGACACAGGAACCATCTTCTCAAACAGATCTAAAATTAGGAAGAGAAATTACAACAAAATTTTAAGACAAAAACCCAAACTGTAAAAGTGACTGTACATATTTTCTAATATTCATAGTCTATAAATATTTGGTATTTAAAGATCAAAATATCAACAGTCTATTTAGATTTAAAGATCAAAACTCAATCACTACTGAAAGCACAGTTATAAAGAGAATTTTTAGATCACTACATTCATGGACAATGGCAACAATGAGAAGTTTCTTCTTTGAACTTAATTTTCTTTTACTTTTTCAGATGTGTTCATCACTGAGTTTGAGGGATCTTCAGTGATGCTGTTCATTTGTTGATTAAATTGACTGAGTCGGGGGTGCCAGGCACAGTGGCTCAGGCCTGTAATCCCAGCACTTTGGGAGGCCAAGGCGGGCAGATCACCTGAGGTCAGGAGTTCAAGACCAGTCTAATCAACCTGATGAAACCCCATCTCTACTAAAAATACAAAAATTAGCTGGCATGGTGGTAGGTGCCTATAATCCCAGCTACTTGGGAGGCTGAGGCAGGAGAATCACAGGAGGCAGAGGTTGCAATGAGCAGAGATCATGCCACTGCCCTCCAGCCTGGGCAACAGATCAAGACTCCATCTCAAAAAAAAAAAATTGACTAAGTAGATCAAAGTAGCAGGATTCCATTTCTGGCTCCAACACTTCCTAGCTATGTGACCTTGAGCAAATTATTTAACCACTCTGTGCATCAGTATCCTCATGAAATAGGGATAATAACAGTACCCATTTCAGGGCACTTATTGTGAAAACTAATGAGCTAATATTTTTAAAGTGCTTAAAAGAGTACCTGGCACATGGTAAACACTTTGTGTTTGCTAAATGAACATATAATCATCCTTTCCCAGTAACAGATTGTTATCCTTGGGATCTCAGCTAGAGGCTACCATATATTGTATACATCTACAATATAATAACATTTATTTATCTCATACAAATAACACTTTAGAAGTTTACATGTTTAAAGAAATATTTGTGTTGGTTTTTGTTGTTTTTTTTTTTTAAGAGGGATCTCACTCTGTCACCCAAGCTGGAGTACATAGGCACAATTTCAGCTCACTGCAACCTCCACCTCCCGGGCTCAAGCGAGCCTCCCACCTCAGCCTCTGGAGTAGCTGAAACCACAGGCATGTACCACCATGCCTGGTTAAATTTTGTATTTTTTGGTAGAGACCTGGTTTCACCTGTTTCCCAGGCTGGTCTTGAACTCCTGAGCTCAAGCCATCTACCCACCTCAGATTCCCAAAGTGTTAGGATTACAGGCGTGAGCCATCACACCCAAGCATATTTGTTTATTTTTAATGGCAGCATCTTAAATAACAAATGTTATGTTAACAAAATGACAAGTGCTACAATCTTAATCAAACACACCGTTTCAAGTCTTCTAATTATTGTATACTTTACATATGCTTTATTATCATTTACTTTCCATCTTAACATTGCACTAACGATACAATACAATATTTATTCTCATATTCCTTTTAAACTAAATGAATGCAAATTATATTCAGAGCATACAATAGCAATTACGTGATTTTTAGCTAGGAAAAACAGAGCAAACTGGAGAAAAACAAGATTAAAGTGTGTCTGAATAACTGACATACCAGTAAATTTCTGACTGATGGGTACATTGACTGGGGTAGACTTCACAAGCGTGGCTTTGCCAATAGGATCTAGATCTTTAAGGTCTGGAACTCGATCATGATAAATGAAGTCATTATCCTTCTTTGCTGCAGTAAGGGCACGATTGATTTTGTCAGAAAAATCCTTCACATTAACATATTCATCATAGCGAGATGCCACTGTTTTAATCAGTTCTGCTGCATGCTAAAAAGAAAAATGTCAACAACAAAAAAGAGGGAGATGATTTTCTTTCTCTTTCCCCACAAAATATTTAAGCACTGGTTTAAAAAAAAAAAATCTTTAATTTGAAGACTTGCATTTCCAGCAATGTGGCTGACAGGAGAACCTGGAAATTCTCCCATCATAAAATACCTGAAAACTGAAAGATAATACATAGCAGCCATCCCTACAAACACACAGGTGGATTATCAAGATAATCAAAGAAATCCATGGGCCAATGAATATAAACTGACATTGAAAAAAGTTGGCTGTTGGGTTTTTTTCCTTCTTCTTTTTTTGAGACAGAGTCTCACTCTGTGATGCCCAGGCTAGAGCACAGTGGCTCAATCTCAACTCACTGTAACCTCCATCTCCTGGGTTTAAGCAATTCTCCCACCTCAGCCTTCCAAGAAGCTGAAATTACAAGTGTGTGTCACCACGCCAAGCTAATTTTTGTATTTTTTGGTAGACACGGGGTTTCATCATATTGGCCAGGCTGGCCTCTAACTCCTGACCTCAAGTGATCTGCCCACCTTGGCCTCCCTAAGTGCTGGAATTACAGGCATGAGCCACTGAGCCCAGCCTGGGTGTTGGGTTATTTCTATACCCAAATAATTAACTATTAAAACTTACTAAAGGCCCTCGTGGAGACCCTTTAGTAACCACACAACACAGAGAATTGAAATGCACCTCTTTCACTCCTTCACATGAAGGCAGGAACCTCAAAGGGCCTAACTCTCAGTGAAAGGGTGGATCTGAAATAAATTAGCACCACAAGAAGTGAACAACATGTCAACACCAGTAAGAAATTTTTTTTAAAGTTTGGGCTTAGAAAAAAATGAACATAAGCCTCACACAAATTTAAATAGTATTAGGTATGCTGACATCATATAAAATAGACAATAAGGCCAAAAGCATTCTTAGGGTTAAATTTAATACATAATCTTTTAATATTTGCCAATTTGCCAGAAAGATATAAAATTTCTTACATTTTTATGTAATAGTATCTATATAAACAATTACAATGAGAAATTGATATATCTACCCGTAATCAAAGTGGAAGATTTTAACAAATCTGTCTCAGCAATGGCTGGACCAGATAAAAAAATGTGTAAGATTATAGAAGATTTGAGCAACACAATTAACGAGCTTGGTTTACCAGACATAAAGAACACTAGACTCCACAAATAGAGAATATATTATATTCTTAGGCATATAGAAAGCATCTACAATTATACGATGACTAGATGAGGAAATAAGGCAAGTCTAAAACATCAAAATTATAAGAATAAAAAAATGGTTTCATACTAGAAAATCTACTTATGTAATTCTCCAAAATAATAAGTTAAAAAATCAAATCTCAGGCCGGGCGCAGTGGCTCACGCCTATAATCCCAGCACTTTGGGAGGCTGAGGCGGGTGGATCACAAGGTCAAGAGATCAAGACCATCCTGGTCAACGAGGTGAAACCCCGTCTCTACTAAAAATACAAAAATTAGCTGGGCATGGTGGTGCGCGCCTGTAGTCCCAGCTACTTGGGAGGCTGAGGCAGGAGAATTGCTTGAACTCAGAAGGCGGAGGCTGCGGTGAGCCGAGATCCTGCCATTGCACTCCAGTCTGGGTAACAACAGTGAAACTCCGTCTCAAAAAAAAAAAAAAAAAAAAATCAAATCTCTTCACAGATGTTGAAAAAATATTTGATAAAATTCAATATTCTTGATTTTTTTAAATCTTAGTGAAACAAAAATATCCTTAACATGATAAAAATCTTAACCTCCAAAGCTGGTATCAAGCTTAGAGAAACAAAGATAACTAAAACAAAACAAAAGCTACCCTTCGGTGTAAACTAGGGAATGAGAAATTGCACAAATTTAAATCACTTTTTAAATCTGTAAATCAAATTTGATTTGTAAATGTGGTTGAACTCTCCCCCAAATAGCAAAAACTACTACCAGAACCGAAGGCAGGCTATACATACTGGGAAAAAAGAGAAGTGCTAAGGGGGCCAACCTGAGTTGAAACTACTTTAAGAAAATCTGAAAACAATAAAACAGGATAAGAAAACCTTGCCAGGTGATGGTAAAGGCAAAGCGAAATGGCCCCTATCATGCTACCAGATGACCACAAAAAATGTGATACTGAGGGGCCTCATTCCAAGAAAGCTGCTGAGAGAAAAAGCAGACAGATTAACTAAAAAGACAGGGCTGCTAGAGGAAGCAGAAAAGAGAAAACAGAAAACAGAAGAGTAGGGAGGGAGAAGAAAGGGCATAAACACTCAGAAATACCAGCAAAATATAAACCTTAAAAGTAGATGCATCAACTTGAAATGCAAAGGCTGTGAGGAACTCAGGGAAGCACAGGTATAGAAGTAGTGGGATTCTTCCTAATCCAGGGTGGGCTTTGAGAGCCAGAGAGGTGGACTTCAGGAGGGAGCCCTTAAAACGATGATGCTTGTAAAGTGAACCCTGCCCGTTCCCTTGCACAGGAAACATCAGCAAATCAATGTCTTCAAACACGAGTAACTGAAAAGGGAGCTCCTCTCTCAATACAAAAAAAAGTAAGAAAAAAATTAAAACAAGCAGTATATCTTTCCAGTAGATAATGAAAGCTCACCAAAGAAATATTGCCGCAAAGTAGATGAAAACAGCATGCTAAAAACTAAAATAAACAAAAACACTTAAGAACACAATGACAATACCAAAAGAATGGAAGACTGGATGGCCCAGAACAGAGTGGGTGATAGCCAAATAGCAAAAGGTGAAATGGGAACGGACAGAACTCAAAAAAGTAAAGAAAAATACAAATTTAGTAAGAAGGCAAGACTTAGACATTTATATAAGGAGCAAAAGGGAAAACTGACACCATAGAAATCACAGCAAAAAACATACAGAACAAGAAAAAGTGAAGAAAATTCAACACAGAAGTTGGGAAGGAGGCAGCTGTTAGAAATGATTTAGAGGGCATACCAACCAAGTGCAAAGTGAGGACTTCATGTGGATCCTGATTTGAACAAACCAAGACCCCTTAGAAAAAAATCAGGAAAAACTAAACTAGATGTGGATAATACTGGATTATGACTATTAACTATTATTAACTCACATGAATATTAATTTTGCTAGATTGGGATAATGACCCATCTAGCAAAATTTTTTAATTTTTGTGTTTTGATTTTTTAAAAATCTTTATATCTTACAGATACAGACTAATAAGCTTAAGCATGAAATATGTGAGATAGATGCAAAATACTCCAAAAAAAAAGGAGGAAAGGGAAATAGCTAAGACACAAAATAGCAAAATCCTGATAATCACTTAAGTTGGGTAACAGAAATTCAATGATTCATACTTTTATATACGTTTGACATTTTCCTTAATAGTTAAACAAAAGAAAATTCATATGAAGAAACATATGTGAGAACAGTCAGAAAAATTCAGAAAATGACAAAATTCAGGAAACAAGGACAGGCAGGAAAATTTTTAAAATGAGAGATGATAATACCTACCAGACATTAAAACAGTCTAAAGTATAAATAAGTAAAACGATATGGAACTGGAATATAAACAGATAAACAAGTCAATGAAATAACAGACCCCAAAATATATACCATGAATCTAATGTGTGATAAAGTCAGAATCTCAGATCAGTGAGGTAAACAAGGTTATTGTAATAAATGGTTTGGGGACAACTGGGTAGCCATTTGGAAGAAGACTTTAAAAACTGGATCCATATCTAGCACCACACACCAGGATAAATTCCAAGTGGATCAACAATCCAAATATATAACAAATTACAGATATATTTATATATTGCTACTGGCAATCACATTTCTATTAATTTAAGATATACTTGCTGCTGTGTACTGAATTGTGTTCGCCAAATTTTGTAATTTGAATCCCTAACTACTAATGTGATAGTATTTAAACATGGGGGCCTTTGCAAAATAATGGGGTTTTTATGAGGTCACGAAGATGGGGCCTCATAGAGGATTAGTGCCCTTACAAGAAGAGACATCAGAGGGCTTGCTCTCACTGTTCACCGTACGAGGACACAGAGAGAAGGCCATCTGTAAATCTCACCAGAATATGACCATATAGGCCACCCTGAGCTTGGACTTCCAGGCTCCAGAACTATGAGAAAATAAATTTCTGCTGTTTAAACCACCCAGTCTATGGTTTTCTTATGGCAGCCTAAGATGAGACACCTGCTGAAGTACAAAATGACTTGTGTACGTTGATTTTTTACTGTAGCATTCTTTACAATAGTGAACCTTGGAAACATGCGAGTATCCAGCAATAGAAGACAGCAATAAACTGTGGTGAATAAAGCAATAAACAATGCAGCTCTAAGGATGGTCTCTCTATTGCTGGATTAAGATGCCAAGGTCTTCAGGATACATTGTACCTTAGTTATGATAGTAGGTTCATATCATACTTAGTTAAGATGTATCTTCAGGATACATTGTACTACCACTTCGGTAAGAATGACAAGTGACAATGTGCAGAGAGAGCATGCGCGAGTGCATGCGCATGTTTATTTGTTTCTGTTTCAAAGAAAGAAAAGAAAACAAGAAACTAATGGAAATTATGGGGCAGTAGAGAGAAGTGAGAATGTGCAGTGTACGTGCATGCACGTGCGTGTGTGTGTGTGTGTGTGTGTGTCTGTGTGTGTGTGTATTTGCTTCTATTTCAAAGAAAGAAAAAAAAAAACAAGTAACTTACAGAAATTAACTATGGGGCAGTGGGAATAAAGGATTTTTCCCAATTTTTTTTTTAAAAACTTCAAGCCCACAAAATAATTACCTAGGTTCAACAATTACCACTTTGCCACATTTGCTTTATCTATTCCTTTCCCATACACACACATAATCATGTACCTTTTTTTCTTTTATTGCAGAACTATCTGAAACTGAAGTTAGATGTTATAAGCCCTCATCCCTAAACACCTCAGCAAGTATTCTCCAAATAAGGACAATCTCCTTAATACCTACAACCTACTATCATAACTAAGAAAACAAACAATACTTTCACAGAATCAGATTTACAGTCTTGCTAGGTCCCTCATTAATGAGTTAAATAAATCTTTGACATGTAGTCATTCTATATAAGTCATATTTTTATATGTGTGTCTATATGTGTGTGCTTCCGTATCTTTTTGAAAATTGTACTGCATCATCTTTGAAGATCGACCGAAATAAATTAGAAGATCCATCTTCTGGGGCCACATAAACTGCACTGTTCAAGAAATACAACTCATGAGCTGTATTAAGCTCAGGTACAATTTTTCTTGGCCCTAGAACTGACTCTAAGTAGTAATTTTACCTTTGCTGCCATTTTATCTATTGTTTTGATTTTCTTGACTGTGATTTTATTTTCATTTCTGGTTTCCACAAGACCAGTAAGTTATTTATCTTTGCTAGTAGTCATAATTAGAAAGCTGGTTTAAGGCCGGGCACAGCGGCTCATGTGTGGAATCCCAGCACTTTGGGAGACCGAGGTGGTGGATCACCTCAGGTTGGGGTTCAAAACCAGCCTGACCAACACGGAGAAACCCATCTCTACAAAAAAAAAAAGAAAGAAAAAGGAAAAAAGAAAGCTAGTTCAATAGTGTGACCTCCTAATGATCTCTATCAGAATCACAGAGTATTATCCTCTACTGAGTGAGAAACTATAGAGAATATACTTTATTGGTCAACTTCTTGTCTGTTTGCTGTTTGCCTTCTCAGAAGCTTAAATCAAGTAAAAAATATTTCATGTCTACAGGAAAGAAGAACTGCTCTTTGAAATATGGATCAGTGAGTGTGTTCTATGTTAACCTTTTTTTTGAGAAGGCTGTCACTCTATTGTCCAGGCTGGCCTCAAACTACTAGCTTCAAACAATCCTCCCACCTCAACCTCCTGAGTAGCTGGACTACAGGCAGGTGCCATCACACTCAACTTCTGTCTAAACTTTTAACCTGTGACTAACGCTGTAAAACTAAAGCTATAAAATCTATGTGTCTATAACTGAGGAAAAGTCTTTACCTCCCACTGTGTGAATTTGAAATAGTTTCATTTTTTCAGGGGTACTTAAAAGCGAGATTAAATTTCAAAAAGAGTTCTTTCTCTGACTGATTTACAGAAACTAAATATTGGCTTGCTTAAATCTAATTTCCAGAAACTAGAAAATAAAGAAACTAAACTTAAAATTTAAATATGCTAGCCTTAAAAAAAAAGAATCCTTCCCACAAATTCCTTGCTCAAAATCACTTTTATATATGAATCTAAGTTACTGTAATCAAAGTGAAGCCCCAGACAAATCTAGGTTTGATTTTTTTAAAAAGCCTTTCTCTGATTTGGTCACTGTGAGATTGTTTTCTCATGAAAAGGCTAATTAATCTGAACCTCCTAAACAACATTTCCATTGCTATGGTCTGAATGTGTCCCCAGAAGTTCAGGTTTCCCCAGTGCCACAATATTGGGAGGTGAGGGCATAAGAGGTGATTAGGTCAAGAGGCCTCTGCCCTCATGAATGGATTAATGTCATTATCACGGGAGAGGGTTAGTTATCAAGAGAGTGGCTTTGTTCAACAGGTCGGCTCTCTCTTACTCACTAGCACTTTCTTGCTCTTCTACCTTTCACCAAGGGTGACACAGCACAAAGGCCCTCACCACGAGCCAGCACCTTGATATTGGACTTCCCAGCCTTCAGAACTGTGACAAATTTCTGTTTTTTATCAATTACCAGTCTGTGTATTCTGCTATAACAGCACAAAATGAACCAAGACATCCACATATCTTCTAATAATCAGTTCATATTTAAACTTCCCTAACTCAAATGCCCTAAGCCATCTTCCTATCCTCTACCTACCAATACTCAAAACACAAACAACTCATACAAACAGCTCTTGCTCCTGCTGGCAAGTTGCCTCAGGTGCCACAAGGTCACACCCATTACGAACAGTATGAATACAACTGCAGAGAAGGTCCTCTGCTGTTTACAAGATATATATGTGTGTGTGTGTGTCTGTGTGCACACACATATCTCCACTGTCCTCAAGTTGTGGAAGTATATGCCCCAGTTTAGACAAAGACTAGGCCACAATTTAAACACTGCACATACTCCTGGAGCATGGCAATTAATTTAGAATTATTTTTACATTAAAACGAACATGGATAAAAAGAATTGAATGTAAATTTTGCATGAATGTTTTTAAATAAAATATGAGACCTCAAAAAACATTTAGTAGATAAAGTCTAAAGATAAAAACAATCACTTGTCTCTCTGATAGGGGTGATGAATGGAAAAAATTTTTATGGGCAAACTTGGAAATCTCACCAGGAAAAAAAAACAGAGATCCAAGTTAGTTACTTAAATATTTATTACCAAGAGACTCACCTGTAACCTTGCAATCTCCTCTCCAAATTTCTTCTGCTGTTTTGCCAGGATAGACTGATGGTACTCAGCATTGGCCTGCATGATACAGTGCTTTGCAGCCAAGATAGGGAACACCTCCTGGAAATAAAAATACTGACCAGGGGAGAGTCCAACCACACAAACCACCACAGACAACATGGGATGCAGGAAGAAAAAGGAAAAGAAGACAGAAATTACAATCACCCCATTAATGGTTTAGAGATAGGTTAGTCATCAGGTGTAAACAGAGAAGACAACATGATTTTGTGTGGATTGAAATCTACAAATTAAATTTTTTTCTTCCAATTAAAATTAAGGTTTTTTTTTTAACTGTTAATTGAAGCCAATTTAAGCTTTTATAATTCTCTTTAATTGATCCATGAAGTCAACATTTTGTTTACAAAAAGAAAGAAAAGCATGCATTATTAGAAAGAGAAGTAGAATGGACATTCACAGAGGAACACCAAGGACAGGGCTTTAGAAGCTTTCTTGTGAGCCCTTACCCAGCCTGTAAAGTTAACTAAACCATCACTACTCACATATACTAATGAAATTATTCTATAGCTGACTGTTTCATCATGTTTAAAATAAAAAAACACAGTAAATTTTCACTTAAATTCATATCCTAGGAGGGTTCTTAATAATTTTAGCCATACAAAAATGACTTAGTATCATAGATACACTAATATTTCATTATCATATACTCAAAAACATATCATAGACAAATGCATTAAGTATATGACCAATGATATGATAAAAGTATTATTTTGCCTGTTTTGAAAATAATTCCAGTCAAAATTAATTTTAAAAGATCCAAAGACAAAAAGCAGGAAAGCAATTATGCCAGTATGGCTCTTCCAAAATGCCAAATCCTAACCTGTAACCTCACTGCTTTTAGGAAGTATATGATATTCAAAAATCCAAGAAATTAGGCTAGACAATCACTGTCTAGTCAAAAAATGCAAGAGAATAAAAAATTGAATTACTATCTTGTGTGCTTTCCTGTCTCCCAGGGAATAATTTCCTACCTTCCTGGAGCACTACTTGCAGGTATTTCAGTTTTATAACTAGAATATGAAAATACCTTATGAGCTTTATTAGTAAAAAGAAAAAAATAAAAGACATCTAAATTTCAAACTACACTCATGCCAGTTCTCAGGGTAAGGCTGGAGCAACTTGGTTCTGAAACAGGAGATTTTCAAGGAATACCAGGAATGCTGCAGAGGTAGCTTCCAAGTCTTTGTAGGTGACACTCTTCTCTCCATGACAGGACTGAACTAATGGCCCAACAGGATGTAACGGTACACTGTGCAGCTGAACATGAGGTCTTTCAGATGAAAAAAACATAAGAGGAGATCCCAAGTCTCTTTTTAAGAGGAAGGCTGTTAATAACCAAGAGTCCTGGGCAAATTTCTACTAGGTTCTTGCTGTATCTTAAATCCCCAGGAATCTTCACATTAATTCTTTATTGATCATTTTCTAAGTAGTAAGTACTATTGATGCACTTATGTGCATTTTTACTTCACCCCCAAGTTGTCTGCAATTTTTTAATGTACAGAGATTCCTGAATATGACTTATAAATCAATAAATTCCCCTACAAAAAAAAAATGTAACAAATAGCATATGCTATCATATGGTATATGATACCATATGACGAAACTAATTCCTTGAACATTTCTGAAGGAGAATAGTTGAAACATATATTTCACTCAAACTTTAAGTTTTCTTTATTAATCATTTCAAATCTACTTATTAGTTATTTGCTTTGTCATTAACAGATGATCATCACTGAATAGTCTTTTCAATTGTCACACTGTCACTTCAGAAAGGTTTACATTAAAACATCATACTTCCTGTGATATGTGGTTTAAGATGGTTGCTTTTCCTTAGCTGTCCATTAGCAGCCCAATTTTTTATCCCTGTTGGCAAAACTTAATTCTAATCAAAGTATCAGATGAATTTGTTTTCTTTTCCTTTTTTCTTTATGTCTGTTTTTGAGCTTTAAGACTCATCTTCAAAAAAACAGGACAATAATTAAAAGTGTGAATAATCAACATGCTCAAGTATACATGCTTGTACCAAATCACCAATGATTCAGAACTACACAAAGCCTCGATTTGATAAAAGTATTGAAAACAGATGGTCAATGTTTTCCAGAAAGAGTTTTAGCTTGAAAAAACAAGTTTAGTAAAAGGTAAAGACAAAGGCATCCCCAAAATATAAAAGAATTGTTCATGCATCTTAAATTTAAAAAGAAAAACTATTTCCATTATATATTATTTAGATAACTCTATTAAAACTTCAAATTTCTTTACAATACAGAAGTTTCAACTTGCTTCTCATACACGAAAAATGTCTAAATATTTCCACATGCGAAGTAAGCAAGTGTTTATAAAAACAATAACTGACCTTGGGGAGAGTATCTTTGTATTGACACTGTTTGAAAGCATCACCAAAATAATCTGCAGCCTGATTAGCCAATTTAGCTATGATGGCATCTTTCATTTTATCTGGAATAAAATATGAAGTTGACCATTATAATTAAAATAAATATGAGCTAATCTGACATGTCTCAGTATAAACATTGAAATCACAAGTTTGTACATGCATCTTAAAATGTCCTTATTGATGAAATCACATTTTCTGCACAAAATTTAAAATGAAGACAAAATAGATTAGTGGTTGCCAGCAGGTGGGGAAAGGGCAATGAGGAGTGACTGCTAATGGGTACACAGCTTCTTTCTGGGATGATGGTAATGTTCTAAAAAAAGATAGGGTGATCAAAACTATGAATATACTAAAAATATGATGTTGTATACTTAAAAAGGGTGAACTTTAGTGTATAAGAATTTTTTCTCAATATAAGCTGTTCTTTTAAAAGAAAAAAAGTATTCCAATTCCTATCTCTTCCACATGATGACTGATCCCTTATTTTCAATTTCTTTGCACTTACACATTCAGCCCATATTTCAACCTCTCATGCTAACTTACATGCCTTATAAGAATTATTCCCTCATTCCCAGGGCCTGGGACTGTGCCTGGATGACTCCTTCTTGTCATTTACGTCTACTTTAAACAGGATTTCCTGAAAGAAAGTCTTCTTGTCTAATGAATCTAAAATTAGTGCAATTTCTGCTACAGCCTTATTCCATAACCATACCACCAGCCACTATCATGTAATTCTTTCTTATTTTTTATAGCAATTATTTCTGAAATCTTATAGCAATTCTTTAAGAAATTATCCTGGCTACTTAATTTTTGCTTATCATCTCTCCAGGACCAAAAGGTAAGGTTTTTTTCTAACTTTGTTTATCTAGAAACTAGAACAGTGACTGGCAGAGAATAAGTACCCAATGAATATTTGCTGAATAAATGTCTGATGCATTAAAAACATACATAAATACTATTCCAGAACAGAGTGTTTAAAGACAGTTACTAACCAACCATTTCATGACTTCAAACACAGCCTACATTCTTAAATGCGCATTCGTGCCATAAGTTCAGAAAAGGATAGCTGAAAATTTTCAATAATCTATGTATCAAGTTCAACAAGGAAAGTTCTACATTGTATGTATTATATTCTAATCACTTCCTTAATTTAAAAGCCTATCATTTCTTTTCACATACAACAAAATGGAAGACAAATTGGAGTTACCTCTTGTGGCTTTTAAAAAAAATACTTCTTGAGCCTGTGCCAGCATAATAAGACTGAGGGTCCCAACAGTATCTGGAGATATGTCCACGGTAGGCTCTCGATTTAAGGCAGATAAAACCGTCTCTTTAATATGTAAAAAGGCACCACTAGCAAACTAAAGGGGGGAAAAAGAATTTCTTTAAAATCTATAGGAACTCAACAAGACATAATTTGCTACTGTTACATATAAAAGTCATTTCAAATGTTAATTCAGTGAACAGTTAATATATCTAAATTTTTCAAATATGCAAAACCAATCTAAAACATCTGACCTACAGACAATAGGTTCTCTTTCTAAACCTCTATAGCAAGACAAGAGATTTAACAAAAATTAAAAGTAAATTACAAGGAAAAACAAAGTAAACTAATGGAACAATCTGATTGAGCTTATTTTTAGATACACTTCTTCAAAACTAATGTGAGAATAGAGGCAGGGATAAACATTAAAATATTTTTAGTACTGAAATGCTCTTGCTTTGGCCCCAAACAAATTCATCTTTCAAATAATTAAATATTATTAATATTTAATTAATAATCATAGTCAGGGGAAACCCCAAACAGTACATATACCTAGTCCTCTAAGGAATAGCATTACTACCCATTGCTACTGATTTCTGTCTGGCCTTCAGAGCTCCCTAGTGAAATGTTCCCATCAGATTTTTTGTCCCAATTATATTTTGCTAAAACTAAAATAACTTTGCTTTTATGAAACAAATTATACTAAGAAAAAGAAGTCAGACTGGGATTAAAAGGTTTCATGAGTAGGCTGGGCACAGTGGTTCAGGCATGTAATCCCAGCACTTTCAGAGGCAAAGGCAGGCAGATCACCTGAGGTCAGAAGTTTGAGACCAGCCTGGCCAACATGGTGAAACCCTGTCTCTACTACAAATACAAAAACTAGCCAGGCATGATGGCACACAATTGTAATCTCAGCTGCTCAGGAGGCTGAGGCAAGAGAATCACTTGAACCTAGGAGGCAGCAGTTGCAGTGAGCCAAGATAGTACCATTGCACTCCAGCCTAGGCGAAAGAGCGAAACTCCATCTCAAAAAAAAAAAAAAAGCGTCATGAGTTAGATAAGTAGACAACACAGAGAAAACTCAAAGCCAAATGTATTAAAATGAACAGCATGTTTCTGCAGTCATGAAGTATTATAAGACTAGAGTATCTGCTAGGAATGCATAACTGACCTTGTTTGGTAAACTAATGAATTGATCTAGAACAGCAAGGTATCTGAGTCTCTCATTTACAGATAAGGAACCAAAAAGGTCTAGAGAAGTTAAAGAACTTGCCCAATGGCACAAAGCTTCTGGGTGGCAAGCAGTCTAGACAAAGACCTAGGTCTAATACCACCAGTTATCTTTCCATGATACCAGGTACCCTGCTGTGAACACTCATGTTAATGGAATAAACATGAGTTTCTTTAATAAATCAGAATGACCTTTCTAAAATCTCACATACCAATTAACTGAGTTACAACTAACCAAAAGCTAAATAAAATTTTGTTTTCACATTTTATTTTATTAATCTTTTTTTTTTTTATGAGACAGAGCCTTGCTGTTGTCACCCAGACTGGAGTGCAATGGCAAAATCTCGGCTCACTCCAACCTCCACCTCCCAGGTTCAAGCAATTCTCTTGCCTCAGCCTCCCGAGTAGCTGGTATTACAGGCGTCTGCCACCATGCCCAGCTAATTTTTATATTTTTAGTAGAGATGGGGTTTTGCCATGTTGTCCAGGCTGTACTCGAACACCTGACCTCGTGATCTGCCCACCTTGGCCTCCCAAAGTGCTGGGATTACAGGCGTGAGTCACCATGCTCAGTCTGTTTTCACATTTTAAAGTATTTTCTATGTATAGCCTCAAAAAAAGAAAATAAGCATACGCATTACGTTTGTCATCTATGCCCACTGAAAACCGTAAGGGATGTCACAATTTGGAGCATGTTGTTTCCTTAAAGTATATTTTCCTTTCATTTTCTCAGAACAGCATCCCTCACCTCTCCCTTGAACGTAAAAAATGGGAAAAAGCAGACTACCTCTGAGACAAGCAAATTTCATGGGAGGTTTGGGGATAAAACAACGGAAGAACATTTGAAATTACATGAAATTTGGAATCAGAACTACTGAAACCCAAATGGACAGCTTTATTAAGACTTCTGACCTTTAGTCTCCTTGTATGTAAAATGGGAATGACATTATATAACATATATCACAAGGTTTATCTGAGAGTCAAATAATGTACATGAAAACACTTTGTACATTAGAAAATAATATAAAATATGGCAACATGATTATATATATTACTTAATACTAATTTTTTAAACAAAGAAAAAAAAGCTGAATAAACAACTGCCACAAAATAACATGCCATATTACTTAGTATATGATTAGTACCCAAAACAGATTAGGCACTTACAAACATTAGGTGTTTGACCACACTTAAATATGACCTCTCCACAAGTCTCAAAGTTAAAATTTTGTTTTCTTGCCAATTTCTTGTCTTTATTTTTGTAACATCAGTGAAATTTCAAGTGTGTCTTACTCTAAGACAACATATAAAAACAACGTACAAATTTTTTTAATTTGGTTATTTATTTAAAATGGATTTACGCTAAAAGCCTGAGATAAAATCTCAGACATTTCATAATTTCTTCAACCAACAATTATTGAGCCTCCTATGTGCCAGGCACTGTGCTAGGTGCTGGGTATAAAACAGTGAGAAAAAACAGACTTGGTCTATAGACAGTTTATCTAAGGGCTTCAACAACAGGAATCAATTCATTTTAAAAGTGCATTCGTTTTCAAGAAAACATCTGTTGAGTAAGAAGCATCTATAAACCTAAATGCAAATTATTTTCCACTTAATCCAACTTAGTGTTGATCATTAACATAATAACTACTTTTCCGCATACCTGGTAATGCTTAGCAGCGATTTTCAATCCTTCATCATTATCCAGGTTCTGTTCTGCTGCAATTTGGCTAGCTAAGGCTGCACAATTGAACAATACACAGCTCTTTTCATATCCTAAGCTTGCAAGAGCTGTAAAAAATTGAGAAGGAAAAATTTATCAGATTATTTTTTCTAAAGAAAACAAATACTTCAAAGAGAAATACTATAATCTCTATCATCCCACTGACTCTCACAAAAACAAGTTTCCAGACCTGTTTTCTCACTGTCATATGCTCCCATATTTCAAGCTCCCCTTAGAGGCATTTATTTCCACAACAATAGTCCAATCACCTAAAACTCTAAAGATCAATAAGTTATTCCTTCTCTCCTTCCCTTTACTTCCATACTTCTATTACAATGAAATTCAAATGTAAAAGTCATTTTCATGGCATTTCTCTCAATTTCTTAAATTCAAATAAATAATTTCCATTGTTCCATCACCTCTCAAAATCATATTATCCCATCACAGTGACACCAGTTCCTCATTACTACAAATCTAAGTCAATGCAATTACCTCCTAGTTGGCCTTATACTTTCCTCCCTCATGCAAATACACTTCTCAAAGGGCTAGCAGATTAGTTTGGATAAAACCCAACTCTGATAAAAAATCCACACATCTCACATCCATTAGAATAGCTCATATTAAAAAACAAAGAGAAAATAAGTGTTGATGAACATATAGACAAACTGGAACCCTCATGTACTGTTGGCAGGAATGCAAAATGGTGGGTCGGGCATGGTGGCTCACTCCTGTAATTCCAGCACTTTAGTAGGCTGAGGCAGGAGGATCTCTTGAAGCCAAGAGTTTGAGGCCAGCCTGAGTAACACAGCAAGACCCCATCTCTACATTTTTTAAAAAATCATTTTTAAATAGCCAGGTATGAAGGTGCATGCCTGTAGCCCTAACTACTCAGAGGCAGGAGGACCACTAGAGACCAGGAGTTCAAGGCTGCAGTGAGCTATGATCATGCCACTATACTCCAGCCTGAGCAAAAGAGCGAGACCCTGTCTCAAAATAAAAAATAAAAAAAGTGCAACTGCTGCAGAAAACAGAAAACAATATGGCAGGTCCTCAAAATATTAAAAATAGAATTGCCATTTTATACAGCAATTCCACTTTTGGGCATAAACCCAAAAGAAATGAAAGCATAGTCTCAAAAAGAAGTATGTATGCCCATTTTCATAGCAGCATCATTCACAACAGCCAAACATGAAAGCAACCCAAGTGTCTGTGGACTGATGAATGGATAAACAAAACGTTGTATATACACACAATGGAATATTAGTGAGCCTTAAACAAGGAAATCATATGCTATAACATGGATGAATCTTGAGGACATTAAGCTAAATGAAATAAATCAGTCACAAAAAGACAAATGTTGTATGATTCCACTTATATGAGTTACCTAGAGTAGTCAAATTCATAGAGACAGAAATTAGAATGACGGTTATCAGGGATGGTGGTAGTGGGAGGGACTGTTGTTCAATGAGTACATTCTTTCAGATTTGCAAGATGAAAACGTTCTGGAGATTTATTTCACAACAATGTGAAATACACCCAACACTAGTGAACTGCACACTTAAAAATGACTAAGACAATTTCATGTTGTGAAATTTTTTTTAAATGCACTCTATGATTCTACTTGTATGAGGTACCTACAGTTAAATTCAGAGACAGAAAGAACGGTAGTTGCCACGGTTGAGTGGGGAGGGAAGAATGGGACATTATTATTTTTTTTTTCTTTTGAGACAGGGTCTCACTCTGTCCCCAGGCTGGAGTGCAGTAGTGCAATCATGCTCCTTGCAGCCTCTACCTCTTGGGCTCAATCCTCCTGCCTCAGCCTCCTGAGTAGCTGGGACTACAGGCACAGGCCACCACACCCGGCTAATTTTTGTATCCTCTGTAGAGACAGGGACTCACTATGTTGCCTAGGCTGGTCTCGAACTCCTAGGTTCAAGCAATCCTCCCGCCTTGGCCTCCCAAAATGCTGGGATTACAGGTATGAGCCACCACACCTGGTCTGGGAAGTTATCATTCACTGGGCAGAGTTTCAGTTTTGTGAGGTGAAAAAAGAGTTTTCAAGATGATGTTTGCACGTAATGTAAATGTGCTTAATACCACTGAAGTGTACAGTTAAAATGGTACACTTATAATGGTTATGTATATTCTTTCACAATTGAAAAATAACTTTTAAAAAAGAATCTACAATAGATCCCTATTATTTACAGAATTCATTCACAGTGGAATTCAAGATCTTGCATCATGCGCAAGGCACTACCACCAGGCAAAATAAGGCTCCTTACAAAGGACACTGAATGAACCGTCTAGGAGAATAACAACACTACCTTTGTGTATCTGTGCCACAGAGTAGTGCCATAAAGTAAAGTCCTCCCTGTTATGGAACTTTGGTAGCCTCCTATGTAATCATAGCCAGTTTTCAACTCACTTCCAAACCAAATCTAGTCTCCTCATTCTAAACTACAGTAGACATAAACAGCAGCTACTCTAATCTACTGTATTAAATATGTGGGAAATCTAAAATAATCAAGTTGTGAAAAAACCCTGCAGTAAAATAAAAGAAGAGCAATGTGAGCTGAAAAACTAAGCCCAAAAGAAATAAAGACAATTCCAGTCATAAAAGATAATATTCCAAAGATCATAATTAGCATTCCTTAAAGAGATTCAAAGATGGCATATCCATAAAAGAACAGGATTTTTTTAATTAATAAGAAAAAGCTCCTACAAATTAAAAACCTGATTGTTAAATTTTTTTCAAAAGTTTTAATGGTGGAGGGAGGAAAAATTTTTTTTTCAAAACTTTTAAAATATCTAGGCAATCTCAAAAAGTATATATAAATTATGAGTGAACTCAGACCAACCAATATCTAATAAAGTATTCCAAAGAAAGAGAGACAAAAGAGACAAGAAAATTATCAAAGAAATATAAGAAAACTTCCCAGAGCTGAAGGGAGATACGTGTTCTAACTAAAAGGGCCAAAAAAGAAATACCCTGAACACAATGAATAAAATGAAATCCCATTAGATCTTTTGAGATTTCTAAATATGAATGATAAAAAGAAGACTGTAAAACATTCCCAAGAGCAAAGAAACAGATCACTTAAAAATAACAAAATCAGACTTTTCATCAGTAACACTAGATACTAAAAGGTAAGAGAACAATGCCTTCAAGTTCCTAATATAATTTTAATTAATTCAATAAATATATACATTAGGTCAGTGTGGCAAGAGAGAGCAAGAAACAAAATGAAACACCAGCTAGGTGCAGTAACTCACACCTGTAAACCCAGCACTTTGGAAGGCCAAGACGGGTGAAACTCTTGAGGGCAGGAGTTCAAGACCAGCCTGGCCAACATGGTGAAACACTATCTCTACTAAAAATACAAAACTTCGCTGGGCATGGTGGCACACACCTGTAATCCCAGCTACTCAGGAGGCTGAGGCTCAAGAATCACTTGAACCCCAGAAGCAGAGGTTACAGTGAGCCGAAATCACGCCACTGCACTCCAGTCGCACAACAGAGCAAGACTCTGTTTCAAAGAAAAAAAGAAGGATAAAATATATTTCAGGCAAGAAATAAAAGTAAACTGTTTATATACCAGATACATATCTCAGTCTATTATGTTGACCCTAAATATTATAATCCCAGACTATAGTCTCTCATTTTGACAATTTCTCATGTATAGGAGCTTTTATGAGATTTTACATATAAGACCTATTTTGATCTTGCAATTAACTCTTACCTTTTTTCCTTTATTTCTCTATCCATCTAAACTTAAACCAGGTTTTCAAAATAATATTTAATTTTCCTTTTTTCAAAGATGACTTCTTAAATATTTAACTGTATTCTTGTTTCTTACTTGTTCTCTTTTTTACTACGTTTTTCTTCTATCTTATTTTTTCTTTTGAGACAAGGTCTCACTCTGTCACCCAGGTTGAAGTACACTGGCGTGATCATGGCTCACTGTAGCCTCAACCTCCCAGGCTCAAGCAATCCTACCACCTCAACCCCCAAATAGGATTACAGGCACATGCCATTGTGTCCGGGTAATTTTTATATTTTTTGTAGAGACAAATATGATATTATTATAAATAATATTATTTATAAATAATCCCTTCCAGAGTGCCTAGGTAAAATAAATGCCCAATAAACATTCACTATTATTATGTAAGAGGGGAAAGTACAAAGTCAGGAGCATAATATTTGCAACTCTTCATAATCTGCTCTCTATTATCATCACCCTCCATAATCCCCAATTCAACCTATGGTTACAAGCCATAACAATAATAATTATTATTAAACTAACATTACATATAATATCTACTATAAAATATTTATTTCCAGTTCCTCACCTATATATAAGTATAAACCTTAGATATATGTATGTATATGGTATGTACATACTATATAATATATATCTATTTATCTTATAAGGCATATAGATATATATTATAGCATATCTTATGTACATGTATACTATAAAAGGGATATACTATATAAGACATATTATACATACCTTTATAGTATTATATATAGTATATAATACATATATATATCATATATACATTACATATAAATTACAATGTTATATGATAATATAAGTATTCATTGCAGCTAATACTTATTGAGCACTGTTCTTAGGACTTTACATGTATTCACTCATTTAATCCACATAAGAATCCAATGAGATAGGCTGATGCAGTGGCTCACGCCTGTAATCCCAGCAGTTCAGGAAGGCGAGACAGGTGAATCCCCTGAGGTCAGGAGTTCAAGATCAGCCTGACCAACATGATGAAACCCCATCTCTACTAAAAAAATACAAAAAATTAGCCACGGGTGGTAACGGACACCTATAATCCCAGCTACTCAGGAGGCTGAGGCAGGAGAATTGCTTGAACCCAGGAGACGGAGGTTGCAGTAAGCTGAGATTGTGCCACTGCGCTCCAGCCTGAACAAGAGCTAAACTCCATCTCAAATACAAACAAAAAAGAATCCAATGAGATAAAGAGTATTATCTCCATTTCACAGATGAGAAAATTAAGGCACAGACAGGCTATCTTGCTGGAGTGGTAGATCAAAAGTCTTCACTCTTCTGACCTTTGGTTATAATTTTGTACCTATAATATTATTTTCTACAAATTCATCCTTCAAGGCCTAACTCAAACACTGTCTGCTTTCAACAGGTAGAATTACTTTCTTCCTCATATATGCTTCTATGAGTTTGTTCATAGGCTGATATTACATATTACATTTTATATAGTACATATTACACTTTTAAATGATCAACTATCTTCCCAAGAACTGAGTACATCTGCATTATTCATTTTTATAACTAGGACAGTGCCTGGCAAGGCATGGGCTTTCTACAAATATTTCAAAATTGCATTAAAAGTTGAAGTTAAAAAATAAATGAGATGTAAACAACTTTAGTATTTAAAAAGAGTCATTAGGATAGCAATTTTAAAAACCAAAAACAATGCAAAGCAGTTAGACCAATTTTCCTATCATTTTTATTAAAAATTACATACCCAGTTTTACAGAGCCTCCAAAAAGTGAACCTTTATCGAAAGCATCCTTCCAGGTAAATGTCAAGCAGATCTGGATAGAACGAAAGAAAAGAGAAAACTGTTACCTTCATGAATCCGAAGAGAAATCCACAATGAAAAAAAGGACAAAAGCTCAACCTGTCTATATTATCTCCTATAACCACCCAACTCCCTTTCCTTCTCCTTTTCATTTAAATTGAAATTTTAATAAAGTAAAATACTGGCACTGGGATAGTTCATATGGTCATGCTGCCTTGGTAATCATCAACACTATCTTATTCATATTTACAAACACACACTGATTTTAATGGAACAAAATAAGTAACAGGTGCTTCCAAATAAGCCAAGAAATACAAGGAAAATAAAAGTAAGTATACAGGTTTCCTAGAAGATGAAATTAAAAACTATTCCATGATGACAAAAGTAGGAGAATGGTTACTTTGGGGGATGGGTTAACGTTTTATTTCTTTATCTAGGTAGTGGTTATACAGGCATATTCACTTTTTTTTTTTCCTCATTCTGGTTTTTAATGGTCAAGGTGACAACAGTGTACAGTTTTTCCAGACCCATATGTAGGTTCCACAGTAATCTCCACCTACTGGAGGAACACCATGACAGATGCCATTGTCCCAGCAGTGTGGGAACTTTGGGATCAAAAGCACCAAGCCAAGTCCCTTTCTCAGGATGGGTCTTGGTTGAAACCACAAGCCCTTCTGCAGTTCTAGGTGGATGTAGTGTTGGTTCTTGGCTCATTGCAGGGGTGAAGCAGGAAAGAGAAAGACACTGGTGAGTCCTGCTTAGAAAGAGGATCAAGGCACATTACGATTCCAAACCAGGAGATCCTGAGACTCAAGCCAGACTCATGATTTGTTCACTTTTCTGTATGCTACATGAAAATTAAAAGTTTACTTTATTAAAAAACTCTCTCTCTCTCTGCTCCTGAAATATGTATTATCACATACAAAGATTAAAAATAAGTAAACCTTATTTAAATTATTTATTGCAATCTAATACAAAAATTAAATTCTGATTAAGGAAATTTTCAAACATACAGAAAAACTAAAAAGAATAAAGAGAATAAACTCCAGTATACCCATCAGTGGCTTTAATCTTTTGCCCTTCTTGGTTCATCTACCTCCCAACTTGCCCTGCCTCCAGCCACCTACACTTCTTTTCCAGGAATATTTTAAAGGAAATCTCAACATATAATTATTTCACCCATAAAAACTTTAGTACAAGAATGTTTAAAGTACTTTTCTTATGACAATTTTAAAATTTAAAAGTATCACTAATTTTAAAACCTTTATCCAATCTCCAAAGTAAAACTATAAGAAATTATCAGCATTTTCAACATCTAGCCTTTAAAGAGAAAATACAGTTGACATTCATGTAATTAACATTTAATCACAACAGCATTTGCAACTTTTACATGCAAATGTAACTTGTGCAAATAATTTTTAAAGCACATAAACTGAGACTAATAATTCCTGATTGTGCAGTTTCCATCCTAAGTCAAAGGGAAAGGACACAGCAGATTAATCAGCCAATAGATCCTACGGATATAACATGAAGTCCAAAAAAAAAAACCATTGCTCTATATGAGCCTGAGAAGTGACTGAAGAATGACATGAACAGAATTCCATGAGATTCTTTCTTCAGAAGCATATATATTCACATCAGACAGACCTAAAAGCTTCTATTTTTATAACACTATCTTTTTTTTTTTTAATAGAGATGGGGTTTCACCATGATGACCAGGCTGGTCTTGAACTCCTGACCTCAGGTGATCCACCCACCTCAGCCTACCAAAGTGCTGGGATTACAGGTGTGAGCCACCACACCCAGCTTCTATAACACTATCTCATAAAACTCTAAAGACAGTGAAAATATTGGCAGAAGGAAACGGGTGATTTGTCATTACCATATAATTTTAAGACAGAATTAATGACTTACCTGATTTTCAGAAAATGGGAATTTGGGTTCAATAGAACAAATCTGATCATAATATCTAAAAAATAGAGCAGAATAAATAATTACCAGAGCTAACTATTACACACATTTATGTAAATACAACTGGTTTAATAGAAAAATTATTTATGCTTACTTTGAGCACTATTTTACATTACACAAAATCTTTTAATACATAAACCAGGAGCTTAAAAAATGAATGCAGTGAAAATCTATAAGCAAAAACTGATACCCACCACCACAGAAAAATATTTATCAACTGTTATTGGCTAAAAGCAAACTAACATCTACTCTAAAAACCAGAATGTTTCTTAAAAATACTATTTTTTACTAAAATAACTATGTTTATATCCATTGGACAAATTAGTATCTCTGGCAAACTGCCCATTAAAAACAGGTTTACCAACTTTCAAATGTTTTAGGTAAGTTTTACCTCTATCTGTCTCCAGCACTGCCACACAGCACATCAAAGCTACCACTCTCTTTTAGCTAGGAATCTCAGTTTCCTAGCCAGTCTCTCCACCTCCTTTCTCATTCTTTCCAACCTGTTTTCTGCATAGCAGCCAGAATGATCACTAAATATAAAGCAGTCTTACCCCTATCGGGGTGAGCTTTCAGTCTGCAAGTCTGGCAGGGAAGGGAAGAGAAAAGGTTCAGGCCAAGCTTTTTAACTGGCCTCTAATCTTTCCTTTCTTTTCCTCTTATACTTCCCCCAATCCTTCACCAGGGGTATTTTTCTAATAATTATTTCTGGGGGCAAATTTTCAGCAGGAGTCACCAACATATCTGAGACAGAGCTTTTACCTGGCATGGCTATGAGTTTGGATACAAATAGGAAAAACTAGGCTATTAAGCAAACACACTGAAGATAATGGAAGCTAAGTTTCTCAAGGTCAGAGATACAAATACTTGAAAGGGCCAGGCACAGTGGATTACACCTCTAACCCCAGCACTTTGGGAGGCTGAGGCAGGTGGATCACTTGAGTCCAGGAGTTCAAGACCAGCTAGGGCAACATGGCGAAATCCTGTCTCTTCTAAAAATACAAAAATTAACTGGCCAGGCATGGTGGCTCACACCTGTAATCCCACTTTGGGAGGCTGAGGTGGGTGGATCACGAGGTCAGTAAACATTTAAAAATCTGTGCTTTTGTGAAGCTTTTAGAGGGGACGACAAAATAGGTAAAAATATGATACAGAAAACAGTGGTAAGTGCCATGGAGAATACAGGGATAAGAGGAATAAACTGAATACATGGGGCAAGGTAAGAAGGTTGTTGTTTTAAATAACATCGTTGTTTGACTACATGAAAAAAAATTTAACTGTAAAACAGCATGACTATGAAAAGGTGATGAGGTAAGCCAAGCAGATATCTGAGAATTTCCAAGGTAGGGAAAGTCAAGTGCCAGTACCCTGGAACAAGAGGGTACCTGAGAAGGTATCCAGCATAGCAAGGAGACCAATATGGTCATAGAGAGAGCAAGGGAGAAAATAGTGAGTGATGAAGTCAAAGAAGTAATGCTGCTTTGAATGCAACTGTAAGAATTCTGAGTTTTACTATACAGTGTAAGAGGGAGAACCATAAAAGGTTTGGTTAAAACAGTAACCTGACTTATTTTCACAGAGTCACCATGACTGCTGTATAGAAAACTGACTGCAGGTATGCAAGAGCAGAAGTTAGAGAGATTAGTTAGGAAGCTACTGTAGTAATCCAGTCAAGAGATGATGCTAGCATGGATCGATGTAGTCCACGGTGGCAGCAGAAGTGATAAGGTCAATTTAGGCCAGGCACTGTGGCTCTGCCTGTAATCCTAACACTTTGGGAGGCTGAGGTAGGAGGATCACTTGAGCCAAGGAGTTTGAGACTATCCTGAGGAACACAGAGAGAACTCATCTCTACACATATACACACACACACAAAAATTAGCCAGGTGTGGTGATGAGCCTACAGTTCCAAGGGGACTATGCAGGGGGATAAGGTGGGAGTTTCACTTGAGCCCAGAAGGTCAAGGCTAGAGTGAGCTGTGATCCCACACACTGTACTTCAGGACAGGTCATGGCATGAAATCTTGTCTCAAAAAAAAAGTCAATATAACCCCTTTTTAAAATTAGTTTCCCCTCTATTTATAATCTCTCAGGTCCCTGAACATTTCCTTCATAGGATTTAACACAATTTGTGATATAATATTTGTGGGATTATGTTTACTGTCTTTTCTCTCAAAGGATTCTATGTTTCATGATAGCAAAGACTGGATGTATTTACTCTCTGTTTTGTTGCCAGCCCCAAGCAAATGAATCAGTAAAATGCAAAGTTTTCTTCTGTCCCTCAGAAGTAAAACCTAAAATTCTGGTTTGAGAATGAACAGGAGCTATCAAAGAACAAGCTCATAAGGAGAGAACAGCAAGTGCTAACGGCCTGAGGCAACCGTACCTAAAGGTGTCTTTGGCACAGCAAGGAGGCCAATATGGTTATAGACTCAGGACTGGCAACCTTTTTCTGAACAGTGATATTCTAGACTCCACTGGGAAAAAGGCTAAATCAAGCTTGTAAAAAGTATCTAAGTACTTATAAACAAGAGAAAAACCCCTGCTCTGGCCTGTACCTTTTTTGCCTAGATTGGGCCATTCCAAAATGATGGCACACAGCTGCCCAGATACCATCCGCTGGAGACATTCTCCAAAGGAAAAGTAGCTGTCTGATGTAGAGGATCCATGGGGAAGGGGGAGGAGTGACCAACACAGTCAGTTTTACTCTGCCTCAATGAGACCCAAATTCTCAAAAAGGGCCTACCATGGGCACCTGCTCCAGCTGGCTGGAGGTGAGGTAATCTGCTGAGTCACCAATTTCCAGACTGAAATTCTACCATTTAGTGCCAAGTCACTGCCAAGCAGAATATCCAATGTGTAGGCAGCACCAGAGTAAGTCTGGGCAGCAATAAAGCATGGCCACTGGCCAGCAGGGCAGGAGCTAGAAGCAAAGGGGAGAATGGAACAGAGGCAAACAGCTTAGCTAGGTCTAAAACACTCACAATGTTAACCCACTGGAGTGGTGCCCACAGGCCATACAAAAACAGGCAGCTGGGCAGGCCTTATTTTGCTGACCCTTGCTATAAAGTAAACAAGGAAGGTAGTAGCAGGAAATGAGGTTACTTGCTCTGCAAATGAGTGAAGAAAAGAATGGCTAAACTGAATGCACTAAAATTTTCATACCCATTTTCTTCACCCCAAAGCTTTTCAGGTTAATTCACAAAACCTGAGTTGCATGGGGGGGAACAGTGTATTTATATCCTATATTTGAATGATTAGAAGCCATGTGATGAAATCTTCAAAGTAAAATGGCTATCTTAGGACGGATTATAGAAGTTGAAATAAAATAGGAAGGCAGTCACTGAAAATCAACAATGTCTGATCAGTATGGAGCAAATCCCAACAAAATGAGAGATCAAGTAATACTTTACAAAAGAAAGCAGTCATTGCTAACTGCAGTTACAACAAGCAAAATGCTGTTCCAGGAAAACCAACTACAATAAGCTACTCCTTCAATATAATTCCACAGGGTATTATCCCTCACAGTTCAGCCTAGATCTCAAGTATCAAAGTTCTCTAGATAGGGAACCCACAGAAACGAGAGAATCTACCACACCCTTCGGTTTAACATTTAAGTAGGCTTTACCATTGAAGCAGATTGCAGCCTAGGCTTTATCTCTAACAAAGTAGACCTAGGCTGCAAGTTTTGTACAAGTAGGCACAGCAAAAGCCAGTATGCTAAGCCAGAGAGAAAGCTAGCACATTGTGGAAAACAACACTGCAAAAAAATCGGTGTCTTTATAGATTCCATTTTAGCAACAAGTGAATTTTTTTAACCAAAACTATAAAATCCCAAATATATTTAAAAGGCACAATACAGACTCAAATCAGACAGCCCTGAGTTTGAATCCCAACTCTGAGCTATGTGAGCATGAAAAAGTTAATCTCTGAACCTTTCCTAAAGTAAGAGTAATAATACCTCCTTTAAAAGTGAGGAATAAATGATACTGTATATCAAATGCTTAAAATAGTGCCTGGACACCCAGTAATACATGTAAGACAAATGGTAGTTATAGCTTATTATTTTGCAACTATGTTGAAGTGCTTATATATGTTCTCCAGTATTTTATAAAACTCAACCACTTTAGCACAAATATATAACAGTTCAATTTAAAAGTCTCATGGGGAAAGAAAGACTAGGAAATAAATAAATTTCTCTGAAAATATCACAAATAGGTACAGGACAAATTCTCATTAGAAATTCTAGTTTAAAAAAAAAAAAAAGCCCAGGTATGGTGGCTCACACCTATAATCCCAGCACTTGGGAGGCCAAGGCAGGAGGATTGCTTGAGTTAAGGAGTTCAAGATCAGGCTGGGGAACATAGCAAGACCTCCTCCTCTCTCCTAACAATTTAAAAATTAGCCAGGTGTAGTGGTACACACCTACTTGGAAGGCTGAAGTAGGACTGCTTGAGCCCAGGAGATCGAGGCTGCCGTGGGCTATTATGGTGCCACTGCACTTCAGCCTGGGCAACTGAGCAAGGCCCTGTCTCAAAAAAAAAAAGTTAAAATGTTTAAATAAAGGTCAGATTCTGTATTTAATTTTTTTAAAAAGGAAATCTTTTTTTAATTTAAGGGGAAAGTAACAACTTTGGGGATCAAGAACAACCAATCCACATGGCCAAAATAATACTGCAATGCTAATTCACACAACCCTATGCAATTCCAATCTGCGTTGAGGGATATGCAACTCCAGACCATTAACTAGAGGAAGAAACAAGAGAATCAGAAGAGCTGGGCCAGAGACACTGGCTGGAATTCACAGAGTCTTTGTGAACCTTATTTTCACACTTCTTTCTTCATCCAATTTAACACATAAAAAATCATTAATCAAGCACTACTGCAGCAAAGTATGGTAAAAAGTACCATAAGCTGGGGAATAAGAGGTCAGGACCTTAGTCCAGTTCTGCCATAAAGATAGCTGTGTGGGCTTAAACATCCTGTATAAAACACCTC